CGTGGGTGGTTTTATCACGCACCTCGTGGCTGACGGAATCAGTGTGCAATGTGTCACCTGCATGTCGCCATGATTTCAATGCATGGTTTACATCTGACTATGTAACACGCCTGTCAACTAAGTCATCAACACCATTGTAAACTCGGCATTTTCGCGTCGGCAAGTACATATACTCGCCCGTGATGTAGGACAACACTATCATGTATCTAGCAAACAGTGAGTCCACTGGACTTAATTATTAACATTTCTAAACATGTCATTCGTATGCAGCTTTATTGATGAACGTTTAAGATTATTACACTTAATATTATAATTAATTAGTTAATTAATTAATTTAATATTATGTATGTATGTATGTATGTATGTATGTATGATGTATGTATGTATGTATGTATGTATGTATGTATGTATGTATGTATGTATGTATGTACTAGTATATAAGAAAGCTACGGGATAAACCGCAAAGAACAATGTGTGTGTGTGTGAGTGCGTGTGAGTGGGTGAGTGAGTGAGTGAGTGAGTGTGTGTGTGTGTGTGTGTGTGTGTGCCGCACAGGGTAACAACAAGTACACTGACAGAAATAGTTACTTACTAATTATCCACTTAGACACTATCATGTGTTTACTAGACTTTACTAACCAGTGAGTAGATATTTGCTGATAGGACTAGTATACGTGGCCTATCGTAGACTAGTACTATAGTAAGTCAGTAGAGATTACTTTCTATCTTTCAAAGAATCTTCTTCTCATAATTTACTAACTGCAATAGCAATAACTGAAATATAAAATTATATTTCACGAACCCTGCTTTTGTTTTGAAGAGTATAGTATGCCCATGTGTGAGACATGGCTGCTTATTATTTACAGACCAGGCTAAAGCTCCATCGCGTCAGAAAGTCATCAAACTGGCCAAAAAGGCACAATATATTAGCTGTGCACGATAAGCTTCATGGCACCATGAGGGGCGGTGGGGTAGCCCAGTGGTTAAAGCGTTCGCTCGTCACGCCGAAGACCCGGGTTCGATTCCTCACATGGGTACAATGTGTGAAGCCCATTTCTGGTGTCCTCCGCCGTGATATTGCTGGAATATTGCTGAAAGCGGCGTAAAACCATACTCACTCACTCATGGCACCATGCAACTGCACCAGTCAATGTCCCCATCCAATGTGGATTGCCGCCCTGGATTTATAGGCAGTTAGCTCTTTTGCCACGGAAAGACGCATGAGTGGTGACTTTGGGATGGAATTTGCCCCCACCAGTCTATGCTTGTCTTGCGAGGTGACTTTATGGATTGGATTGCCTGTCCAGATACGTCATGGTGCTGAGTGCGCCGTTAAACAACACACAAACAAACCACTTATTCTGACACGGTTTCGTCAAATCGGCATGATACACATACGAATGACATTATCGCTTTATCATCCATACTTTATTGAACGGCGCCTTGCTTTATTTGTTTATAGTTTGAGGAAGTTAATGGGGGTGAGTAATAGTTGGAAAGATGTAACCAAACTTTTAAAAAAACTTTATCTTTGTCACACATATAATGATATGCGTGCATTGAAATACATAAATAATTATGAAAATATCTTTATAAAACATTCCTAACTGTAAATGATTACACTGAACATGTTTGTGTTATTCGATACAATCATGTAAGAGGGAGACGCGCTTTGTCCTAGACAGGTTTACCTGTTCTAGAGCGCTTGCGCTCCTTGCCTGCAACCGTTAGGAGGCGATGGGCAGGATACCAGTCTAGCTCTTTCCGACCTATTTCCCCATACTGCATTTCGCTTCGGTGAAACGTTGACCCGTGTAGCGGGTCTGTCTGTCAAGAGGGTCGGAGACAGGCCTACAGCATATGGCTATGCGGGAAACGTTGACCCATTTCCGTGTATCGAGGTATTAGCACTTTTGGACAGTGTGAGTAAGGGAGGTAACTATGATAGAGAAGTATGATTCATGGTTTTAAAAAGACCCCGCAATCACAGTTTATTTTACCTTCTGGGTTACACATATGCGTTTAAGACAGTATAGGTCCTTACATCAATAGGTAGCTATGCTACAACAATTCTTTGCGACGTGTTTTCTTGTTATGTAGGGGCGGTCGGGTAGCCTAGTGGTTAAAGCGTTCGCTCGTCACGCCGAAGACCCGGGTTCGATTCCCGACATGGGTACAATGTGTGAAGCCCATTTCTGGTGTCCCCCGCCGTGATATTGCTGGAATATTGCTAAAAGCGGCGTTAAACAATACTCACTCACTCACTCTTGTTATGTATATCATATCCGTAGTGTAGAAGTAGTATCACACCGTGGGTGCGTTGCAAAGCGTCAATCGCGTTGGAGCGTTGTACAGCGATTCGCCTTACAACGGGGCGCTAACTTTCAGCCGCTTGCAATGGTATCAATCGCTCACTGAGGTCGCTTCGTTCTTAAACCAAAATGGCGTCTGAGTTCGACAGCCGAACAAGAAATTCTTGACTGGATCAACGGGAAAATTGGCAAAGGCAGCCAACACGTCACCATCCTCAGTCTGATCCACATCTACAAAGTAGTCATAAATGCATCGGCTAGTCATCGAGCCTCTTTTGTTACGTTCTTCGTTACGTCACAATAAGATTCGAATGACGTCAACAATGCCGTCCGGATGACGTAACAATACACAGCCGCGCGTGAAGTGATATTTGCACTAAGTGCATATACGATTGTTATGACTCTAACACTATGGGTAATAAATAGAGGATATTAAACATAGTTTGACATGAACACGAATATAATGTTCTGTTTATTACCGAAGAGTGAATCATCGAGTGAGTTGGGTTTAACGCCGCTTTTAACAGTATTCCAGTTATATCACGGCGTGTCAGCTTAATGTGGGAGGAAAGCCTGAAGTGATGCAGGTTCCAGACGTTTACCACTTCGTTGAAACTCACGAGCACGGGTATGGTGCTGACAAACCTAGAAACATAACCGAGGCGAACTGGGATTCGAACCCACAATCATAGGTTTCTGGCGTGCCCAAGGGACGCAACTCTGCACAGCGAATCGCGGCGCCTTATACCCCGTTCACATGCGCCTCTATACATATGTGTGTATATGTGTAACGTGTGTAGAAATACATACGTGAGTTTACTTGTCATGTGAACGCGTTACTCATGTATGTATATTTACACCAGGAGCAAATTTGCATCATGTCTGGAGCAGGTGCAAATGTCAACGTAAGAGGATGATCCAACTAATATCTGTTCTTTTGCCAGCACCAAACAAATTGTCAACTTGTATGTGTATATACAGAGTTGAGCGGACAGTGTTTTCTTTTGGTTTCAAGGAGTCAAAATTTTGTGTACAAATTAAATCAAACACATGTTGCTTCACGCGAAAAATTTCGGTGAAGTAATTCTCTTCTCATTCAACTTTGATTTGAAAACCACCTGTTTTGTGTTGAAAGTCGTGAACAGACTGACGAATATGTGTGCCTAACACAATTAACATACTTTATTTACACAGCTAAGATGCTTTTCATGTGAACGCATAGTAAATTTACATATACGCACGTATGTATAGTTACACGTGTGTAAAATTACTTACGTCAGTAAATGTTGTGCATCGCACAGTGAACGGGGTATTAGACGACCGGGCCACTCGTGCCCCCTATTACTGAAGAAGATGTCTACATACAGAGACGTACTTTAGTGTTTAACTATATAAGGACAGCAAGTCGCAACACTACGGAACCATAATTTGTCGAATGACGCCAAAATCTTCAGCTATGACGTCTTTCTAGTGTGACGTCATTCCGACCCCATGTCACAATAAGATTCGAATGACGTCAATGATGCCGCCCGGATGACGGAAACAATACACTGTTGTCTCATGATATGACCCTAGGGAACATATGATTTATCATCCAAAACTGGCTCCCACAGGAGATATCGCTTGGATGAGATCAAGCGATATCTACACTGTAGATATCGCTGCAATGAAATTACATCACAATGCTTTTCAGACCATTGTGACGTCACAGTTTACCATGACGTCACAATCAAATGACATCACTAATGGCTCTGCTACTGAAGCTGTTAGCAGTGCTTTTTACGCTGAAGACACTGCTTATTATTGTCTACAAATTGATAGTTGGAAGAATGATGTTGGATGATAAATAAAATCTCACCCTCGTGTCTTTTGATATCAAATATATCAACACGAGTTGATAAAAGTGGAAAAATTCCGAGGCTTGCCGAGGATTTTTGCCACTTTTAACAACGAGCGTGAGATTCTCTATTTATAAACCATGTTTGGCACGTATCAATTTTTATGTACTCGTTTATTTTTTAAAAGCGAAAGTGATTTTCTTTTGACCTTTTAAATGGCCATCTTTACGCAAATCATACAGATACAGTGTTTGGTTATTCAGACACTGACCACTCTCCATGAAACAAGCCCTATTTGTTGCTACTTCTGTGTATCATGTGTAATTTGCTCACGTATGCATCTGTAGTGTGCAGTTCGATGCAGGTCGTGGAGCCACAATATAGATAAGTACATCGCCATTAATTATATTGTAAATGAACGTTATTTCAAGTGTGAAATTTATTTATGCAAAATGAAAATAACATAAAATATTTCAAGGCTTATTGGCAAACTTACAAATTAGATTCCATATTCATGATAATTTACAGTAAATACTTCAACGGAGAGTGTGACATCTCGTGCATTGAATTAAAATAATAATGAATGTGATCTTTTGCGCATACAAGTAAATGATTAACCCAACTACGAACAGCGACCAAGTTTAGATTTACATATTCATGATAATTATAGCAATAATACAACGAAGAGTGTGGCATGTCCTGCGTGGAATTAAAATAATAATGAATGTAATCTTTTGCGCATACAAGTAAATGATTAACCTAACTACGAACTCCGACCTAGTAACATATTTCTTTATCTTTGTCAATCCGTATGTTCTAACACCGTCACCACACGCTGAATAGGTCGGAATCCGCGACTACAGTCTAAGGGAGGTAACTGTCGTTTCACCACCCTCTCCACACGAGGCGTACACAATGGCACAACGTGTTTGACTGAGCTCTTTGGTTTTAACCGTTTTACCTGAATCAAATATATTTTCACAATGGCCGAAGAGAAGTACATTAAGGTAAGTTGGTGGGGTAGGCATAAACGTTAAAATTGGACCAATGTCGGCGCCGAATCTCACCCCAAACAAATAATCAGCCCACTTGAAATTAAATGTATCTCCACTTTGAAGCCAGTGGGTATATTATTCAAAATCAGCGTATTATGAATGCGGTGCGTATCACGAGGACAGTTGTCAGTGTGGGATTATCGCTTCTTGATGCTTCTGTGACCTCTGAGGTCCTTCACTATGACCTGAATTGGGGCCCTGTATGGGTATATGAACACTCGTGACATTGGGTCAGATTTGTCCTTGTCGTTTTTTAAATAACGCGGAGGACGACAAATAGGATTCAGTACATGTCATGAATTACAGCTCTTCATTTCACAGTAACAGTTAGATAAACATATCAAATATCATAACAAGATTTATGGTATGATGGAGTCACTGCATCGTGAATTTACAGCTGATAGGAGAAGTGCTATGCATACCCAAGTATCGATTCACATGCTATGCATACGCATGTATCGATTCACATGCTATGCATACCCATGTATCGATTCACATGCTATGCATATCCATGTATCGATTCACATGGACTGCCTCTAGTGGTAGAGCGGAAGGTCCGGGGATCAATCCCCGACCGCGTCATACCAAAAGACGTTAAAAGATGGTACTTGTTGTTACCCTGTCTGGCGCTCGGCATTAAGGGGCTAAAACAAGGACTGGTCTGCTCGGAGTCAGTATACTGTGTCTGTGTGGGGTATTCATGTTAAACTGCAGCATGGTATCTCGGTGAGCTAGCACTATAAATCGGCATCAGTCCGGACTAGTACAAGCAGCCACACAAACACACACGTACATGCACGTCGCTATATAAGTGCAATAATCTTGGACGCGATGTTAAACCCCATTTCACCTCACCTCGATTCACATGCTTTGCATACCCATGTATTGATTCAAATGCTATGCATACCCATGTATCAATTCACATGCTATGCATTCCCATGTATCGATTCACATGCTATGCATACCCATGTGTCGATACAAATGTTATGCATACCCTTGTATTGATTCACATGCTTTGCATACCCATGTATCGATCCAAATGCTATGCATACCCTTGTATCGATTCACATGCTATGCATACCCATGTATCGATACAAATGCTTTGCATACCCTTGTATCGATTCACATGCTTTGCATACCCTTGTATTGATTCACATGCTTTGCATACCCTTGTATTGATTCACATGCTTTGCATACCCTTGTATTGATTCACATGCTATGCATACCCTTGTATTGATTCACATGCTTTGCATACCCTTGTATCGATTCACATGCTTTGCATACCCTTGTATTGATTCACATGCTTTGCATACCCTTGTATCGATTCACATGCTTTGCATACCCTTGTATTGATTCACATGCTTTGCATACCCTTGTATTGATTCACATGCTATGCATACCCTTGTATCGATTCACATGCTTTGCATACCCTTGTATCGATTCACATGCTATGCATACCCATGTGTCGATTCCTACGTGCTGATTCCCATGTTAACTGAACTGCAATAACCTCCCCTGAAAATAACTTGAGCCACCTTACCTCATCACCTCTCACAATTCTGATTCAAACTCAAGTATTGAGTCACATTAATGGTATTATATACATTGTATCACAGTTCTTAACAGTTACCCTGTACCATAGGCACATAGTTCTTAATTCAGCACTAACTCAGTACTACACAAGTGATTGCACAGTTCTATTTCACAGTTCCATATCGCATATTAAACCCTTGGTCCATGGTTTGAAGCACATATATTCAGCAGCTCAGATGGTGTTATGTCGACTTCCTTGTACATTCTCCAGGCCGCGAAGATTTCTTCTTGCTGATTTGTAGCATTCTAGTTGATGTTGCAGCGGAGGTTGCCAGCTTGCATCTGGGGGACCTGAAGCCCAAGGAGAGATCCCACCTTGTGTAGGATTAGTTTGAAATATAAAAATGGAAAGGTTTCCTCAAACTCATTCATGTTTTCACAACAGATTGGTACACTGGTCAGGACAGAGGTCAAAGTATGTTGATGAGATTGGTTCAAACAACATGTGAACTCTACTGGAAGATATTACATTGTAATAACAGCATCTAACATTTATACTGTACACATCTTGCTCACATTCATCTATTATCATGGACATTTTAACTTTTTACCTGTAGCTGTTAAGTGTTTAGACTTTTGAGTTTTGAGGCCATTCTGACATGATGTATCCCAGGTGCCTTCTCTATACGCAGATGTTCTCTAACTAATTAACGCTGACAGGGTCACTTTCATCTGCTTGTCTTCGACATGTATCCTGGGTATAAAATGACGTATATCAAATTTTTCCCAGCTACATGGTGTAATGATGAACAGTAATCAATAAAATGTTCCAATGAACAGCATGACAATATTATACAGATAAAGAACCATGTTCTGTGAGCTGATAACATGCAGACTGAGCTGAGGTCTTGATACCTTTGTTTTGTACCCAGGGTACGTATTGTTGGTAACTTGATCACGAGTGACCCCATGACTATAACAGTGTCAGTAATATTTATGGCACTGAAGTCAGGATTGTATGGTATTAAGAAAAAACAGCATAATCAGAGATGATAATACTTGCGCCATATTGCACATGCAACCGAGTTTATGTGACAGCCAAACTGCGAGTCATTTTGGATGCAAGAGTGAGTGAGTATGGTTTTAAATAGCTTCTAGCAATACTCCTGCAATATCATGATGGGGGACGTAGGAAATGGGATTCACACATTGTACCCATGTTGGGAATCAAACTTGGATCTTTAGCGTTACAAGTTACGATTCAGTTATGTTCCTATTCTACACAGCTGTTTTCTGTAAATATTTCATAATATACATGAGAACATATGGACTGTCATGTAAATTTTGGATCTTAGTCGGGGTGGGGTGCTACAAAGATTACTGTCACACAGTGATTTAGAAGTTGTGAAGGATGTATTTAATACAGTGAATACGGTACTTAAGGGACATCAAAATGTAGTGTACTGTAGAGAAGGTGTCTAGTTGTAATAGTTGAATGACATTAGATTGTCTGGCTACGTGTGACCTTCTGATCTGACCTGCAGCTGAAAGGGCTTAAGGTTGTTGTCAGTGTGGTCTCCATGGTAACCTATATGTTAATTTTGGCAAATATACGTCTCAAACCTGTTGCCAAATTGTAATAATATTGGTTTGGTGCTCATATTGTATTTTAAAATAATTGCTATTCTGATCATTAGTGAGCATGTATTTGATTTAGACTGTGCCGGGTGTGTCTGCCTAATCAATGTGGCGCCTAATTTTGTTAATTTTGTTAATCTGCTCAGCTGGTCAAATGATATAGAGTTTCATACAGAATAATCAGTGAGGGTTCAGCACTCTTCAGTCATCGATACTTGAAGTGCGGCTGATTTGTTTTTCATTTGCGTTATGGATATGTAGTTCCGATGATGGTGTCTCCAACACTCTTTTTCTTCTTCATGCCCAGAAAAGCGTGAATGCAAATTTCTTTTGAGTGAAACTGGACTTTTACAGTCAGTTAACTCCCTTGCCTCGGGAAGATGCCCGAAGAAGTGGATCCTTCTCCAACACTCTTTTTCTTCTTCATACCTAGAAAAGCGCATCTTCCCGAGGCAAGAGTGTTAACTGACTGTAAAAGTCCAGTTTCACTCAAAAGAAATTTGAAAGTCCAGTTTCCACCCTTGCCGAACTTGGCTGCAATTCCTGGGCTCGACCAGTGGCTATTACGAGTTATGTCCCTTCTGTGCCTCTCCTATGGACCAATCAGATTCCACCTCTTGTATCACTTGCTTTTGCTTGAAACAAAATGGTGGCTTACAGTCAAGACGATCTGAACGATAATCAAGGTCTATATTGTGATAAAACAGATCTTACATCACGAAGTTCATCAAATCACGTGAGCACCTTGATTAAAAACAGGAAAAGATTTGGAAAAAATATCTGTTGACAATGAGTTGGCGGTGCACATGTTTTGCAAACCCTGCAATCGACCGAAATCTGCTTTTCAGCTTATGAACCGGATTTCGATTTCATTGCGCGATTTTGATTGGACTATACATAGACTCGTTAGTCCAGCCAAAATCTGACTCCATAATACCAGCCTAGTTTCGGCAAGGGTGGAAACTGGACTTTTCTAGTCAGTTAACTCTCTTGCCTCTGGAAGATGGAAAAGCGTGAATGAAATTTTTCTGAGTGAAACTGGACGTTTGCAGTCAGTTAACTCCCTTGCCTCGGGAAGATGCCCGAAGAAGTGAATCCTTGCTCATAATATCAATCACTGAATTGTCTGGTCCAGACTCGATTATATACAGGCTGCTGTCATGTAACTAGATTATACAAACATACTAATTGTGACTTACACTTTTGAATCTATAGTTAGCAACATTAAACCCAACTCTTTCCGACTGATGCCGTAATAGAGAGATTCACATGATTAATGACAGCACTTTGCTTTGTAGTATTGTCAGGCTCATTGATTGTGTCTGTCTTTACCTGTATCGTTTGGTGTCACCTGACGAGCAGGATACACAGATGCTGCACCCAGTAGATGGAATCAATTTCTGCAGCCTGTGAGAAGCTTGGGCTTGGTGTTTTCTGGTGGTAGACGTATGTAATTGCTCGTTAAGCATGTGCTGGTCAATAATGGTAATGATTTGCAAATACCATCTTTACTGTATTGGAGGTTTCTATGGAAACGGTAAATAATGGAATTCATTGGTATTCACTATGGTTGTTTTCAGCAAATGAGCAGTTCAGTATGCTTAGATAGATCATTTTGTGTGGTTTTTAATTTTTGAGAAATTTATGATATTGCCTCTTATCATGCTTATAAAAATTTCGCTGGACTTAATATTCTTTTGGTCAGAATAATTTCTGTTCTTGCTAAATGAATTTTTTTTTTAATTATGAAGAGGGGAAAGTATGTTAACAAGTGATAAGATTGTTTTAGTCAATGTTAGTTGCGAGGTCTCTTATTTGAATTCTAGAAGCTCTGAAAATGAAAGTTAAATCAATGATTACACCAACATTATGTTCAGAATAAGAATATTTTCCAATGAATCCAGCATTTGTCATGTTTGTTGGTCCTGCTCATTTATATCTTTTATTATATATCTGTATTTTATTGGGATCAAAACCCTGGACCACCTTAGGCGAATAATCTTTTGGTTTTAGATGGTTTACAGAATTTCTTTGTTGGTTTTCACAATGTCTGTGGTAAAAAACATGAAGGAAATTGTCGTCAAATGCACGTCTGACTTTCCTGGGTTTGTGCCCCGTGACTTCCCTCATGAAGCACACGACGAATGGCGCCATTTTCCCACCAGAACAACTGCTCAAACAAATGCCAAATCTTTTTTCTGGTCTTAAATTCAAAATTTGGCTCATATCTGCAGTCATATATGGTATGTCATCATATCAGTCTACATCACCATGATCACTTGAAACTTTCTGTTACACACTTCACTATGTAGTTTGTACCCCTCTTTTCAACACAAACTGATTTGAGTGACATTGCATGTTAACTTATGTTTATTTTTTTTATTTTTTATATCAATAGCATGTTTAGAAAAGGTGGTATTTTAAAACTACCGTATTCATTTTGTGATGTTTCATGTTGGCTTATCTGTCCCCCCCCCCCCAAAAAAAACCCAAAACAAATAAATTTGAGGCCAGTTTGAATTAAACATGTTAAACAATGCTAAGAAAAGACATCTTATCAAATTACAGGGCAGTCGGTAGTCTAGTGGTTAAAGCATTCGCTTGTCATATCGAAGACCCAGGTTCGATTCCCACCATGGGTACAATGTGTGAAGCCCATTTCTGTTGTCTCCTGCCATGATATTGGTGGAATATTGCTAAAAAAGACGTAAAACAATACTCACTCACTTACTCACTGATCAAATTACACTGTTCTTTTTTGATAAAAACAAGCAGTTTTATCAACACTTGACTCCACTTTGGCATGCCTTCTCCAACACAACATCAACGTCTTGTGGCATGAGGGATTCCCTCCCTGTCTTCCATCTCAGGAAAACATCCTCTCCAGCTGAACAATCATTTATACTACTCTTGTGATTTGGGCGACCAGGATTAAACCATTACCATGAACATTCATCAAAATACAACAATGTAATTACCAAGCTTGTTTGGGATGGCTGGCCGTAGTGGAACTTCACAGTGCAGTGGGATTAACAAAGCAAGCTGATGGAGGGATTAGCCTGGCTGTTGAAGAGTAACATCCATTTTTGACATTGAGATGACATGGCTAAGTGTTGCATTGGACAGTGGTTTAGTCTGTCTTACAGACCCTGATACAAATATATATCAAAAATAGCCCATGCAAGTCTATAATGTTTGGCAAGTCTAGATCACTGCAGTATCTGAAAATGAAGAGAGTCACTGGGCTCCTTTTTATTATATTTTTATTAAGATAACTGAACAACTGTTTTTTTATGTACGATATGTTCAATTCAGAGACTAAATGTTAGTCTAGACAGTGGTTGTTCTGTGTCCGATACCATCATGCCATGGTGGCATTTGGGTCCAGGGTATATTTATGAATTGACTTCAACATATTTTGCATTGATGGCGGTATAAATGAGAAGAACAGTATGAACTCTGAAGCAGTTGTTGTTGTTGTTGTTGTTTTTGTTGTTTAATGCCGCACTCAGCAATATTCCAACTATATGAAGGTGGTCTGTAAATAATGGACTCTAGACCAGACAATCCAGTGATTGACACATCATTGACATTGCTTCAAACCAAATCAGCGAGCCTGGTCGCCTCTTCCGACAAGCATAGTCACTTTTTATGGCAAGCATGGGTTGCTGAAGACCTATTCTACCCTAGATTTTAATGGGCTCTGAGGCCGTTGAATATTTCTTGTTAAAGCTTGCTATACAGATCAGTCAACATCTAGTGGTGAACTGGTGCGTTTTGATGATTTGGGATGTTGAAAGATACTGAACAGCATTATTTTTTCTTCACCTAACTGAAAGGTTTCCAGTGGCAATGAACCAAAAGTGGGGTCTGAGTAGCCAAACTCCATTTGTTATTGACCAATAATTTTGCCAAATCATAATCATATCAGAAATGTCACCTTGTTTCGAGTGTCAAAGGCCACTCCTATTGATGTTAGTGGTGCCCTGACACATTTGGGTGTGCCATCCAATAAAAATCTGAATACTCTCCAGTCAAAAATGAAATAAGTTATATAAATTTTTGTCACTTTAGTATGCTATGCATTTTCATACATTCAACATATTCCATGAGTTTGTCCAGTTTACACATGTGAAATATTTTTGTCACTGACTTTAACTCATAAAATTGTCTAAAACAATGTATTTTCTTAAAAAATGATTTCTACAATGTTCTTAATGTGCCCTTAACATGCTTAAGGCCATATATTTTTTATTTTGTCAGTTCATGGGCCTGCCACCCCTACTGAAAAGCAGCCGGTCCAAGAAATGAATTAAACTTAACAATATTTATTTTTATTATGTTTCCCGCTATTAATCATGTTAATATAGACCCTCTTATACAATAAAAAATGTTATATATAAATTCCATGTCTCAGTGGTTTAAGAAGCCTGCTGCAGTTCTGACTCCATGGGAGAAGGACTCTCATACAAACAAACAAACAAACAAACTATTTAATTTTATTTTTATTTCGACTGACCTTGTGTGGAAAAGCTGGAATAAATCCATGAAACATAAAACAAAAAAAGTGTGGCCAAAGGCATGATAATGTTTTAACCATGCCATTGGCGCTTTAATACCAGGAACTTTAAACCCTGATATCTGATATAATATGTTTGTTTCCCAGATCGCGGACGACTATCAGGGTTACCCGCTGGACATGTTCTGTATACCCAAGCACTATGAACAGGATCTTCAACATGTCCTCATTCCCTCGGGACTTATCGATGATAGGTATGTAGCATATCACATTTGGTGTGGATACTGGGCCACAAAAATTATTCCTTCAACGGTACCCCTTTTTGGTGCAGCCTTTATTGTTTACATTTGGGACTTGTCATTTCACTTCGTTTTTGAGATACAGAAATCAGATATACTCAGATTTTAGAAATCTTGGTTGATTGGCTGATCATGCTGATTAGAAAGATCACAAAGTGATGTCCTGATGAGAGGTTTGTCATATCTTCATAAAATTTGTTATGTTTTTCTCCTTTGAAGGATAGAGCGTCTGGCGAGAGACATCATGCGGGACTTCTCCCATGAGGCCATTGTCGGCTTGTGTGTCCTGAAGGGAGGCTACAAGTTCTTCACGGATCTCCTGGACAAGCTCAAGGCACTCAACAGAAATAGTGAAGTTTCAGTTCCCATGGCTGTCGACTTCATTCGGTTAAAGAGTTACAGGGTATGTTAACCTTTCTGTTCCTTTTGAACCTGATCTTTGCCAGTTACTTACATATTTCATGTCAGATACAAATCTGAGTTCTTTAAGTTTTATGGCTTAGAGGAGAGGTTTGGTGGTGATGGGCGAGGTTTGGGGTGAGAGGTGAGGTTAAGGGGTGAGTGGTGATGTTTGGGGTTGATGGGTGAGGTTTGGGGTGAGAGGTGAGGTTTGGGGGTGGTGGATGAGGTTTGGGGCTGTTGGGTGAGGTGTCGTGGCAACGGGTGAGGTTTGGGATGGTGGGTGAGGTTTGGGAGTGATGGGTGAGGTTCGGGATGATGGGTGAGGTTTTGGGTGAGATGTGAGGTTTGGTGGTGACGGTTGAGGTTTGGGATGATGGGTGAGGTTTGGGATGATGGGTAAGGTTTGGTGGTGATGGGTGAGGTTTGGGATGATGGGTGAGGTTTGGGATGATGGGTGAGGTTTGGGATGATGGGTAAGGTTTGGGGGTGATGGGTGAGGTTTGGGATGATGGGTGAGGTTTGGGATGATGGGTGAGGTTTGGGATGATGGGTAAGGTTTGGGGGTGATGGGTGAGGTTTGTTGGTAATGGGCGAGGTTTGGGATGATGGGTGAGCTTTAGGGTGAGGGGTTTAAGTTTACCATCTTACAAATTTGACTTTTCAGTATATTTTTCTCCTTCATAGGTTTTTCTGAAAAAAAAGTTGAACAGCAGGGATCCTATTGGGTGTGATTGCGGGATATTATTGCGTTACAATCGCAAATCTCGTGTTAATAAATCAGTGACACTTCAATAAAGTCATTACAATTATAGGATTGTGAACAACAGTCATCCCAGGTTATAATGCCACTTTTCGTCCAGCGGAAAATATGGCATTATAACCTTGGTGTCAGTATAACCTTGTTGGCATTATAAGCAGGGAGAACTGTATATCCATTTGCAACATAATGTTTGTAATTTAATGTAATTAAGGATAATAATCTGAAAAAGGACAGTATCATTAACATCCAACTAATTTGTTTGTTTGAAGAAAGTGAATGATTCTCTGTGTGATGATTTGCTGTGAATGTCAGTGAATTTAGTTTGTTGATTTAGAAGAAGGAAGGCAGTATGAACAGGGTGGCATTATAACCAGGGTGGCATTATGACCAGTGTGGCAGAATAATTAGGGTGGCTGTATAACCAGGGTGGCAGTATGACCAGGGTTGCAGTATAACCAGGGGTGACATTATAACCAGTGTTGCAGTATAACCAGGGTTGCAGTATAACCAGGGTGGCAGTATAACCAGGGTTGCAGTATAACCAGGGTTGCAGTATTACCAGGGTGGCAGTATAACCAGGGTTGCAGTATAACCAGGGTTGCAGTATAACCAGGGGTGACATTATAACCAGGGTTGCAGTATAACCAGGGTTGCAGTATTACCAGGGTGGCAGTATAACCAGGGTGGCAGTATAACCAAGGGTGGCATTATGACCAGGGTGGCAGTATAACCCAGGTTCCATTATAACCAGGGTGGCAGTATAACCAGGGTTGCAGTTTTACCAGGGTGGCAGTATAACCAAGATGTCAGTATAACCGAGGTTCCATTATCACCAGGGTGGCAGTATAACCAGGGTAGCAGTATAACCAGGGTGGACTGTACGTCAAACCAATTATCCTGTGGTGCAGATCCTACCCCAGCTGACAATAGTGTTTATAGTGCCGGTACTCATAACACCTTTTAAGAAAATAACTGACCATGCCTGTTCATTCCTGTCCATACCCTTGCAGCCTATGGGCACAATATGTAGGTGGACATTGTTGCCTCTTGTAACATGGTATACATTTCTGAACAGCAGCTGGAAAAGAAATAAATTAAACATAAAAATATTTAGTTATATTACATCTCTGGCTAGTAATATAGCCCTTATACATTATAAGATGTTATATATAAATTTGATGTCTACATCACTATCAGTGATTCAAGAGGCCAGCTGCAGTTTTAACTCCCCGGCAGAATAACTTTCATATAAAATTTAATGATTGACATAGCAATTTAATTTTGTTTTTATTTTGACCGACCTTGTGTGGAAAAGCTGGAATAAATCTGTGAGACATAAAATTATGAAAGTGTGGCCTTATTGCTGCACTGAATCAGCTAACTGGAGTTAATTTGAAAGAAGTCTAGCGATAAATAAATATGGTGTATCGGTTAATAATTTGTGATGATTGATTTGCTGAAAAACTGACACAAGCACATGGCACAATATGGAGGGGCAAAAACCACAACCATCAACCCAAAGAAAAGTGTCTTTCCGATGAGTCAGAACAGAACAGTTGATGGGAGGATGGTCACAGGTTCAGTTAATGGTGTTGACAATAAACACAATGTTTGCAATCATGAAGGAAACCCTGGTTATGGTAATAAGAATTTTTCACATAAAAACTGCATCCGATAGCTTAGAGCAATCTTATTTAAATTCTAAAATATAAGATAGCCACGTGATAAATCGCAAAGAACAGTGTGGTTTATTTCATGATGAAACATTGATCTATGATGACGTCATTTCTGGAGATTAAAACATGCGCTCGCAACTTGATGACGCTATATTGGAGGACATTATTTTTGTGAGGGGAGTGTCTAGTTAGTTGTTTCCCATAGATGTAGCTAGACAACACAGATAAAAGTGATGGCTTAACGATCACATCCGAAAGTGGGAGAGATATGACAATCAGTATTGGGAGAAAAGGTACAGGTAATTGACATAGGTCTCTGAGAATAGGCAGGAAATGCCCCACCTGTGCATAAGATGGACTGTCCTACATTGCGGAGGTCGGATTCTATTCAGGGGGGTCATCTTTATTTAACTATGGGTAAATATTTCAAAGCTTGTACACCTCATCATCATCCTTAAAGAGGCTGAACAGGATGTTGATTTCTCATACTGTAACTCTTGAAATTAACACGAGCGTGAATTAAATGCGAAAAATATGAGTGGTCTTTGCTCGCATTATTAAACATCACATTTATATCAACAATAAGACATTTTGAAGCGCTAATAAGCGGTGCTATTTGGTGTGTGATTGGATTAATGAAAGCCCTGAATAATTTGCTCTGCTGGTGATATGAAACATTATTTATATGATACATGTAGCTTACAATAGATAACCTTTAAATTCAAGATATTTGAAAGATAATCTCATGCGAAATGTAGGGTATCACGATAAATTGAAATATCGATATATTGCTATTGGTAAGCACTTAAAGTCAATAAATTGATCATTATATCAGTTTCCGATCAATAGTATCAATAGTTAGGAATATCGATAGTTTCGATTGTATTTACCATATCAATAAAATACATGCAATGCTGTTCAAATTTGTTTTTCTTGTGATCATGAGTGGTAGTAATTTACACATGGTAATGTGGAAGTTCCTTTTTCTTAAATTATTAGGGTAAAGAAAATAAAATCAGTCATATGTCAAACTTTACTTTTTATTTGTTGTTGTGGTTATCACATTCAAAGGAAACTTCAGATCCAAGGTTTAATTCAACTCTAAAATCCATCTAAAATGATACACTGAAAACTATTGATATTAATCTCAATAGTTGCTTGCAATATCAATAGTTATCGCAATAATTTCTTTCAATATCAATAGTTCTTGCAATAGTGATTTCCAGACCAATAGTCACCCCTAGCGAAATGTCCTCTTGTTTGCCTCGTTATCAGTATCATTGTCAGAACAGTAGTCAGTACATGCCGATCAATTTATTGCTACTTGTGTCTCGTGACTAGGGCTGTCACGATTCACTCGCGTATTCGGAGAATCGAACCGTATCTATTCATGAATTGAATTCGTTATTCGTGACCAAAAGAATGGAATATATATAAATATGCTGTCATGTTCATTTACATACCCTGTATCTAAAAATATCCATTAGAACATATTATATGCATAGATTTCTTCAAAGACAACACTCTTATAATATTTAATTTGACAGTATTGTGGTCACTGGTCATTGTTGCATTTGAGCAGATGCTAGTACCTGGATAAGTGCAGTATATAAATGTATAATATGTTAATAATTAACAAACCATGTCAAATAATTTGTGTTGCTTTTGTTTCATTGAATATAACAAATAATACATCAACTGCTGACTTGTTATTGTATTTGTGAATTAATATTCGCATTCGTTACCCCATATTCGTGATACAAATCGTACTCGCCTCATAGTGTATTCGTTGCAGCCCTACTCGTGACAGTCATGAAAATATTCTGAACTGATGTTTTTTGAGTGCTGATGTTCCATCAGCTGTGGCTCATTGTAAAATGCGCCGTTCAATTTGATTGGCTGAGTAAATCGTGATCGATCTTACAGAACATTTGGTATTTCTCCGTAGACTGTCAGTAGGCATCGCTCTAGGATTGAGGGCATTTAAAGCGATGTACAGATTATTCAATAATAACAATTCTTTGAAAAGGTAAAGTTAACTTTTGTTAAGTCTACAAATTAAAAGATATATAATTTTTTTATTTGAAGTTTACACGATAGACGGCTTTTCCATTACACGAGAGGTTGGTCACATGACCACGATATTGACGTTCATACAATGTTTGGCCTTCACTCTATGAAGGTTCATACTCCAATGAACTCACACAAAGTGAAGGTCAATTCTTACGTAAACAATGGGGTTTATGACAAAACATTTTATGACAAAATTAACATTCGTCTGCTGGTATTTTGACAGCGTACGACATAATATTTCAGTACGTCATTGTGCAGGGGCAAGACCTTGAATGAACTTTGGAAGGTGTGTACATGTATTGAGAGTTCTGATTATATTTTGGGGCGGTGGGGTAGCCTTGTAGTTAAAGCGTTCGCTTGTCATGCGGGTAGTATAGGTAATGGTGGTTCTGCCGCAACCCCACTGGAGCCAGATTTATATACCTAGACCACCACTACAGGGGGAATTTTTAATGTGTAAATGACTATGTGATTTAACGATAGTCATAAGACTAATTAAAAGAAACATCAATATTAATTAATAATAAATAAAATTTACTATAGCCCACGAGGATATTGGAAAGGTATAGGAGCAATAAAAAAATTAGCCACCGCGGCTAAGGTATCTAAAGATGTGGCCAAGGATTGGTTAAAGAAACAAGCTTTTTATTTACTACGCTGTGCAGTGGATTATCTTTTGGGTAATCGCTCATGTCGTACATATCTATTTTTTCTGCCATATCTTTTTACACATCCTCGGTTTGTATTTCCATCAACAAAGAATCTGTGTCGGTATATAACACCTCGCATCTATCGCCGTATTGCTTCTTAAGTTTGTTGTAATAAAAGTCATACATTAAGTGTTTTGACAAGTCACGAATACTCATACCAACGTACACCAGACTGTTGAATTTTATATTACTCTTCTGCATATGCAACGCGGCTAAGTCGTTATCGAATATCTTGCTTCTGTTAAAAGCCGGACTGGCTATAAGTTTCCTGAGTCTTTCTTCCTCATTAGATCTGACCAATTTAACATCAACACGCTTCCTTAGATTCTCCATAGTTTTACCAAATACTGAGTTATTCATGAGCTTATATAGGTTCTTTTCGAAATCGCTGGTAGCTATCTTTCTTAAATCTGTGTTCAACCTTATATAGGGCTCCATCCAAGGGCTTTGATCAAATTTTAGAACTCTGTGTATTTTCTTAAGTTTCATACCTAACGATAGATATAACTGGAGATTTCTGTAGTGAACTATATATTTTGTCTTATCCATCAAATTTGGTACAAGTTTTTCTACGTTAGCTAACCTTGTATTACCCATCAAGGAGTGTTGATATTCCGACATCCAATCTTTATTAACCATTAATCTTTCGGGAGCTTGCGGATAACTGTTATGATCTTTATGTAACGAATTTGGATATTCCAAGTCAACTTCTAGTATGTGTTAATACTAGATTCTGTTAAGTTACTATAGAATGACTCAAGGGTTGGTAATTTAGTTTCGTCGAATCTAGACCAATCATCCATGTATTTGTAAAGATATACACCTTTTCTCAGCAACAAATGAAGCGTTAACCTATCGGTATATTTAATTGTTATCGCAAAGTCATCGGGATTGTTCGCATTAGCTAAATTGTCCAGCGAAGATAACAGAAACTGTACGGAGTCTATGAATCTAAGCCCATTACTTTGCTTTATTCTGGCTTTTTCCATCCTTGTCCGTATAATGTATAGTTTTAGTCAACGAGAACGATATGTATTTTTCCATATTATTAGGAATGCACGTTAAGCCACCGTCGGTCTTTGAGATAGCTTGCATAATGAGATGAGAATCGTATCCTCTAAGGTTATGAAACACAACAGGGATGGGTATTGTTTGAGAATTCATTTTTAGTTTCAAGTTACACTCGTTATGCGCGGCTCCCCGATAATTACCCGTGACGTGGCAATGATCTCTTACAGAATCCTCATTCAGGGGTTTGTTACAAACTCGTTGACCTCTTATAGGCCCTCCAATTATCCCTCGTCATACACATGGGTTTCTTAAACGATAAATTTTCCCTGATTATTCTCTCTTCATTTTGTAGATATTCTAGGAACTTTCCCGCTGCATCGGGACCTCTGTAAATCACGGGTGGGTTTGTTTTCCCATCATACCTTACAACTATATATCCAAACCCACAAGGAATATGTTCTTGAGTTTTGTATGTAAAACTACTATCTTGATTATTATCTATAGGTTTGATAAGCGCTTCGAAGTCGGCGTAAATTACGTACGGTACTGGCATTTGATTACAATAATGTTCAAATTTTAATATATTATTTCCCTCTTTAGGCATATCGATCCTGATAGCAGACTGTCCAACACCTCTACAGTCTTCTTTATGCGCTTCTAATAGATCTTGTCTGCTGTACCCATGCAGGCATCTTTCGCAGAAATATTTCTTTCTAGCATGTTTTGTTTGATCGTATAATAGCCTGTTTAAACTCTTTATCCATGTATAATGATATTTTCCATCTTTTTCGATCAGAAATGAATTGATTCTGGGAATATGTCCCGGAGTGGAGCTTATCCTGTGTACAACAATTCCTTTAGAATGTCCGAAAACATTTATAGCTAAATTATTTTGCTTTTCCACCTTATCAATTTGTGAGATTGGTGTAGGTTTGTCTATGCCATCGAAGTTGAGTCCATCGTTTTGAGGATAGCTCGAAGGTCTATTTGCAATTTTAGAATCTAAGGGGAACAATGCAGATCTTATCATCATTCTTAAACAGTCATCAGATTTATTTTTTACATTAATTATGGCTTTTTTCTTTTTATAATACAGGGGTAAATCTATATAAGATCCACCTTTGAAGGGCATATAATTTGCTATATCTAAATATAAACTATTGATTTTATCCACACCCCAACCCGAACCTCTTTTAGTCCAGCGTTCTAAAGTTTCCTGTATCCTCTGAATTGATGTATCTAATGATGCATTTATAGTATCGGATTCGGTTATTTAAGAATTGACCTTCACTTTGTGTGAGTTCATTGGAGTATGAACCTTCATAGAGTGAGGGCCAAACTGTATGAACGTCGGAGCTTGTGACGACGTTCATACAATGTTTGGCCCTCACTCTATGAAGGTTCATACTCCAATGAACTCACACAAAGTGAAGGTCAATTCTTATAATTTTTTTATCACAATTTCTTACCTCAAAGGATGAAGGCCAAGATCTAAACACAATTTTATTTAGTACATGTGACTTCATGTTTACACTGACAGCCATACAACAACCAGCTATATCTCGGAGTAAAATAGTTCCTTAAAAAGAGAGGCGACATGGGCGTATGGATGCACAACTTGCACTTCAGAAACATCTTACGCAGCACATGTGTTCATATCATATCCCCATTAGATGAGAAAGGTCTGTAAAGAACTACCTCAGTAAGTCGGTCACAATGACAGCGCGTCGTAATACATTTACATCAAGTACAAGACGTCAAAATGGCCGACACGAATAACGTGACGGGAGAGATTTCCGAAGTTGTTAATATCTGAATTTATACCTGTTTTTTGTTGATCGGTAGCAATAACAATTTTATTATTATAACCGATCACTTGACCGATCTTAAGTTCCATATTACTCGGAGACATGTATAGTCCTGGCGCATAAACATAGTCTACTTTGGATTGAGCGTACTGTAATACATCTTGATAACGCTTTATAGAAGATGGTATGTCAACTGGTCAATTAATAGCATCCTCCACATTTGCGACAAACTGTTTTTGTGCATCGAGTGCTGTCCCAGAACCAATAATGGACGTTCGTGTTTGCGATTGTGCACCGAGAATTGCCCATACATACTTCTTATTGATTCATTCATTCTTACAACTCCTGGGTTAGTAAAATTATTTTCTGTTTTATCATTAAGAAATTCATTCCAAGCGTTTGCGGTATCGTTCAGTTGTACAAATTTTGTAACAATATAAGCCAAACCACCCTTAAAACTCATAAGAGAACCTCTCCAATTGTTCCTTGAAAGTTCCCAGCCATGATTAAGATTATGTAATCTTACAAAAAGATTGTTTTTCTGTAACAACTTAAATGGATCGAATAGTTGATGAGTTTTTTTTAACTAAATCATCGCTTTCTTCTTTAACAGTTTTTTGACCGCTCTACGGAACACCTAGACCATGATTAATTCATTTAATACGCCAATCTTTACTCGTAGAAATATTAAATTCCTGACAAATACGTTCGAATGCCCGCTTATTGTACAGATTATTTGATGCATTCCATGCTCGATCCTGCGGTAATGGAGCACTAATTTCTTTAAGTATACGTCTAATCTGATAGTACCGTTGAAATGATAAAACAGATTTATTTAGTTCAAATCCTGGGGCATCAAGAGAAACACCACATCCTGTTGTAGCACACCATATGGCAAAGTTTAACTGATTCTGCCAAAATTGCATTGGATTGTGGAACCAATCATGCACCATTTTATCGCTAGTTGCCGTGAACCTGTATTTTTCAAAGACATCAGGGAATTCAACAAAAAAATTAGCACCAGAGGCACTTACTAAAATCGACTGATTAGTAATATAAGTTGATTTCATATTTAAGTTATGATATAGTATCATTGTATATTTAATATGTATGTTACACTCACGGGAATAACAAATGGTCAGTCTATTCAACTGCTTCATACTATCGATAACTTGGACGGTCAACTTGAAGTCGCTATCTGTGATGTAACGTATTACCCGCGGTGGACCAATATAAATGCTGCAAGAGGTAATAATGAGACAGTAATAAATAGTAAAAAACACATTATACCTGATGGGTATAAAAGCGTATGCTCACTCAATGATGAATTTTTTAAGCCTTTGGGAGTTAGTCTCACACAAAATGAGTCGATGGGATACTGAGTTTAAGCACTGGAGAAGGGCTTGTATTTCTTGACTATACCGTATTAGATACACTTGGATTTGCACGCGGAGAAGTAATAACACCCAAAAAAACAATGCATGGAGTTAAATTGCCTGATTTAGTTCCCTATAAAGAGTTGTGCATCCATCTTGATCAGATCAGTACGACGGATAATATTCAACAAGAAAGTCCTTCAACTCTGCTCAGATCTATTCCAGTGAAAGATGAAAAATACAATAGTGGTAGAACGGACTCTTTCTCATCATTACAATATAAAAAATTAAAGCGTGGTATTATTTCAGACCTCAAAATTTCTGTATTAGATTTAAAACACCAACCTGTGCATATAGGATACTTGAGTGTAACACTCCATATTATAAATAATGGTTGATTCATCAGGCCCTGGAACACTCAGACAATGTAATACAATTGCGCTTTCAGATCTCGGAGACACAGAAGGATTCGGTAAACCAGGTACCGATGGTAAGTTATACGCTTTACACTTACACGATAATGTATACAATCGGAAAGAAGTTACATTCACAGGTAATCTAGGAGATTTAAGCGATGTCGACGTTGTTAGTAGACTCCATAAAAAAAACAACTTCGTACAATCTTACTCACAACGATGATAATAAATGGACTATGGTCGAAGCAAACATCGAGTGGCTATTGAATATCGTCATTACCCCACCGTATGTGATGATGGGTAAAGCACATAATTTAACTAAGATAATAAATAGTGATATCGTACTCGGGCCTTATATCCCATCAAAACGAAAAAGTGTGTTAGTCTCTCCCCTGCCAGAAAACCCAGGTCATATGTTATTTAGTCGTCCGGCCGTAAAAAATGTTAGTTTAAATTTGGTTACTGAATTCAATGATATTAAACAGAACTTGAGTGCAATACCTAATCTTTCTACGCTTATTATTGAAGTCTTGTTCGGAGATGTACCGGTAGATGCCTTCGAAATATTACCAGGACTATCGATTAGATGGCTCAAGAAACACGAGCGTCGACTTTGCAGTATTATTCATATTGGAGCATCACCCGTTGCAACCCTTGAGGTGGTCCAAATTATTAAAAGTGACAGCATTTCTCTTACTAAGATATTCTTGCCGTATAATATACATTTGATAAGGTTGATGTATACTCTCAAAACTTTTAAGCAAGATCAATTAAAGACTATTATATGACCGTAATATACACTATGAGTTTATATCCGGTGCTCGATGAGGCATTTGAAAAGATGGATACTGTTGATGGATTTCGATTACATCAAATAAGCGACATAAAACATCGAATAGAAAAGGAGAGGGAGTTTAGACTTGGATTGTATAAAAAGTATCGCAGAGCCGTGAATGCTCTGGACAGAGTTGACACTGCGCTTGTGACAGCTGGCATGGGACTCGGTGTAGCCGGTGTCGGTTTATTATCAACTATAATCGCCGCGCCTATCGTACTTGGCATGGAAATAGTGGCTGGAGTCTCAGGACTGGCAGGAATAACGATAAAATTCATTTCTCGTAAGTTGGAAAAGAAAGCATTAAAACACGATAATATTCGGATACTCGACGAAGCAAAGTTGAACAGCATTGAGGATCATATTTCAACAGCAATGGCTGATTGTAAGATATCCGAGGAGGAGTTTCGTTTAGTTTTGTCAGAACTCACCAAATACAACGTAATGAAGCAGGATCAACGTATTCGATCCAATTCTCGTAAGACCAGTGGTATTAGCGAAGACGAGAAAAAAAAGTTTATAGAACAGGGGAGACAACAAGCGTGTCAATTATTCCGTGCCAAAACCAAAGAACTGGTTGGAGATTAAAAATAGATTGCTTACTATCTTTAGATCACCTTTAGAAGAATGCTTACATAAGTATATAATAATGGAAAATTACAAACCAACCAAGGAAGAACTTGAAAAAGCTATCGAAACATTTATGCTCAGGGACAAAATTATCAAATGGAGAGAATTACCACAGGGTATATATTATATCAGTGATGTCAAACCAACCAAATACGGTCATCAATTGTTTCTTTCCAATTACCAAGAAGAGTATATAGCTCCTAGTAAAATGAACAAAGAACTTAGTAAAAATGTTGAATATCACCTTGTTAAAAATAATGGTATGCGTATGAGTAAAAATAATAGAGAATATTTTCATTACAATTTAGTTTAATCTCATGACGATAGTTGAATCGCATCATCATTTACACATAAAAAATTCCCTCTGTAGTGGTGGTCTAGGTATATAAATCTGGCTCCAGTGGGGTTGCGGCAGAACCATCATTACCTATACTACTTGGGTACAATGTGTGAAGACTATTTCTGGTGTCCCATGGCTTGATATTGCTGGAAGTTACTAAGAGCTCATTAAAACCAACCTCACTCACTCACTCTGATTAATTTTGTGTTCTAATGGTGTAGTAGTTCTAGCTATTTCTATCTTCAATAGTTTTGTAGATGTTTTTTATGTTTGTCTATTTTGTTATAGTCTTCCTACGGAAGTAAAGAGGTAAATTTTCATTACTAGATGTTGTATGTAGCCACTAGTTCTTATTATCATTTAGATATTTTAGTTTTTCAGTGAAAATATTTCATTATTGTTTTGTAATTAACTAACATGTACTCTCCATTACTATATTTTTTGTGGTATATGGCTTTAAAAAAAATAATATTCTAAAGAATGGCATGGTGTGATGCAGGGGAGAGTTGATTTCACATTTGTTCCTAACAATGGTTGTTTCAGCTCCGGTGAGATTTAAAAACATAAATATAATTTACATGTATAATATTACTTTTGGTACATTACTCTTTATATGGATTTAATAGAAAGTTAATAGAAAATAATCTTTTAATAAATCTGAATATTCTGAACTTCACCTTATTATTATGTATGAATACACATTTGTACTAATCAGCACTGCTAATGAACAATTTTATGTTATTGTTATTTTATTATTATTTTACAATTTGGCTACAGGATCTAGTTTGAAATTTACCTCAACTTACCATTTTCTTCATTTTATGTTCATTTACCTGAACTTAGAGTTGCCTGTATATCTATGTTTGTTTGTTTGTTTGTTTGTTTGTTGTTTGTTTGTTGTTTAACACCGCACTCAGCAATATTCTAGCTATATGACGGCAGTCTGTTAACAATCAAGTCTGGACCAGACAATCTAGTGGTTGACATCATGAGCATCGCTCTACGCAATTGGGATACAATGACATGCGTCAACCAAGTCAGCAAGGCTGACCACCCGATCCTGTTAGTTGCCTCTTACAAGCATAGTCGCCTGTTATGCCAAGCATTGGATGCTGAAGACCAATTCTAACTTTTGATCTTCACAGACAGTGTGTATATCTTTCCTCCTGCCCATGTGCCTATCTATCCATGCATCTGTCTATCTATCTATGCATCTGTCTATCTATCCATGCATCTGTCTATCTATCCATGCATCTGTCTATCTATCCATGCATCTGTCTATCCATGCATCTGTCTATCTATCCATGCATCGGGCGGTTGGGTAGCCTAGTGGTTAAAGCGTTTGCTCATCACGCCGAAGACCCGGGTTCGATTCCCGACATGGGTACAATGTGTGAAGCCCATTTCTGGTGTCCCCCGCCGTGATATCGCTGGAAAATTGCTAAAAGCGGCGTAAAACATACTCACTCACTCACTCACTATCCATGCATCTGTCTATCCATGCATCTGTCTATCTATCCATGCATCTATCTATCCATGCATCTGTCTATCTATCCATGCATCTGTCTATCTATTCATCCCTCTCTCTGTTATAGCCCTGTGTCCTTTTGTATTACATGATAAAGTCGCTAACAATTATATCCTCCACTCTTTCTCCTCTGAAATCTTGATGGCCATGTATACATGATTTCAGTAACCATGTCTCTAAGAATTTATTTGTCACAGAATTCTGAGCAGATGTTTTGGGGGCACATGTGGTCCTGTTGCCTAAATAATTCCGATCTGATGTGCACAGTTAGTCCAGAAACGTATGATCGTGGGTTCGAAAACCAGATTCTCTAGAAAATGTTTCTTGGTCTATCAGTGGTTAATGTTTAAGACCTGCATCAGTTCAGGCTTTCATCCCACATGTAACTGACATGCCGTGATATAACTGAAATACTGTTCAAAGCGGGGATAACCACTCATTGATCAGATTTTAAGATGGCTACCACAGGTACCATTGTCGTCATGTCTGAAAAGTCCTTTTGTCTCAACACTGAATGTTTTGTTTATATTTTTTGCATTAATGATGTGGTATGCAGAATAATAGAAATTCTTGGTGTGTGTAGTTGTATTTTTCACTTTGCTGTGGTCATTGACCTTCATATATAAGGGGGCACGGGTGGCCCAGTCGTCTAAGGCGCCGCGATTTGCTGTGCAGAGTTGCGTCCCTTGGGCACGCCAGAAACCTATGATTGTGGGTTCGAATCCCGGTTTGCCCTGATTTTGTTTCTAGGTTTGTCAGCACCATACCCATGCCCGTGGGTTTCACCGAAGTGGTAAACATCTGAGACCTGCATCACTTTGGGCTTTCCTCCCACATTAAGCTGACACGCCGCGATATAACTGGAATACTGTTAAAAGCAGCGTTAAACCAAACTCACTCACTCACTCACTCATATATAATTTTTTTGGGGGGTTTTATTGCATTTTGTACATTATTGTTTAGCCCAGGAATGATGTCTTTGAAATCTGTTCACAGAATTTTGATTTGATCCTAATTGGATGTCCATATTAAATTTTTTTTCCCCATTATTCACACATTTCTTGTGGTTTGTTTATGAAATTGTAATATACAGTAATACAAATAATTATTCATGAATATCTTGTCTTACTTGTGTATACTCTATTGCCTATTTTCCCCCACCCAATAAAGATGTAGACTAGGGTCCACATTATACAAACATGGAATGAGTTTTTGTTGTTTAGCCATGTTAGCTGAAGCAGAAACAATCTCCCTCGTATGTAGCACTAGCAACAGCCTGTCAACAAATCTCTACTGAAGTACGCAAGCTCTGTTATTACACTATCTGTTCATTGTATATCTGGCTTTGTTTCTAATCTAGTTTATTAATTGTATTCAAAATTTCATTCGATATTGTTTACATAAATTCCTGTGAAATCATGTGTGGACTGATCGGCAGATCGCATCCAGAACTACCGATAAGCAGTGTATTTGCGTAAAATACCCCCCTCCCCAAAATATTAAAAACCCAATTACTTTCAATTAATGAGGAGCTAATTTCTGAAACACAAATACAAGATAACTTACTTTTCTGAATCAGTCCTATATATTTAGAACTGTTATATACATCTTAAACAAATTTAATCTTTGGTAAATCTTAAAATGTACACTCATTTTGTAAAAAAACCAATAGACTGATGAATAGAAAGTGTAAATATATTGGTCACCCAATGAAAAATGTAATAACCCAATTAAAATAGAAACCTTCAAGTAAAAACTCAATTGCTCAAAAAGTTATCTGGAGTTGTGAAGTCACCATTATTTGCAGCAACCATGAAGAAACTACTACTATTGATGCCATGTAAAGAACCTCAGTTGTCAGAGCTGTGTTAAATTAGTTTCCAAAGTTCACTGGCCAGGAGGGCTACAAAAAATGTTGCAAGCCCTCATCATATTTTACGGCCCCAAACACTTCCGATAAACTCGAAATGAAAACACAATGACTACAAAAAAAACTTTAACTGATGATTCGTAGAAGGAAATATGTATTGACTTTTAACTAGACATTCAGGCAAGCTTTATGGAAATGTTTCTAGCCCAATTTTAAAGACACTGCTTTTTAGCTAGGGGGCAGGCAGCTATGTCGAACACTGTGTCAAAGAATGGATAGATATTTGGAGTCCTCAATGCTCATTGCTTGTTGCAGGGGGCGATTGACTAGACTCATAAACTGTAGCATTTGAGGGCTTCAATTCTGAACCACTTCTTAATGCTTCAGTTTTGCTACAAAATGGAACTGAATAAAACTGAATAAAAGTAATAAACATAGTAAATATTTCTGTTTCTATGGGGGGCACGGGTGGCCCAGTCGTCTAAAGCGCTGCGATTCGCTGTGCAGAGTCCTATGAAACCAGAAACCTATGATTCTGGGTTCGTATCCCAGTTCGCCCCGATTATGTTTCTAGGTTTGTCGGCACCATACCCGTGCTCGTGGGTTTCACCGAAGTGGTAAATGTCTGGGGCCTGCATCACTTCGGGCTTTCCTCCCACATTAAGCTGACACGCTGTGATATAACTGGAATACTGTTAAAAGCGGCGTTAAACCCAACTCACTCGCTCACTCTGTTTCTATGGCAGGACTAGCTACAGACACTGAGAGGACTAGTGAAATAAGGTATACACTAGTCCTATGGACTATTCTGAAAAAAACCCCAAATTTATCATCCAAAACTGGCTCCAACAGGAGACATTGCTTGGGTGAGATCAAGCTATATCTACATTGTAGATATCGCTGCAATAAAATTGCATCACAATGCTTTGCAGACCACTTTTGTATTTCAATATATTGTGATACTTTGGTCTGTATTGCAATGTGTATGGGAATACATGTATATTGCCATTCACATACATATATTGTGATGTGATAAGTCTGTATTGTGATATAGATTGAAATATATTCCAATGCAGATACTGCTATGTAAACTTCCTCATTTGAACCTCCCTTTTTTTTGTGGACCAAAATAGCTAATGTACTTTTCCCATTGTGTTGTGAACAAGCTCGTAGTCAAGAGGCCCGACCGCCATTATTTACCATAGTCATGCTTTATCAAGAGACGAACACAGTGACAAAATGCAGTACAAGAAATATCATTCGTCTGTGATTTGAGACAGACATATGGTAAAAACGTTTAAAAAATCATCTTGGTCACAGACTTGCTCATAGTAGATTTTTTCTTGAAGTTGGAAAAAGCTGTTCTTTTTGTTATTTTAGTCATTCTTGTTTTCTTGAACATGCCAGAAATAGAAAAAAAACCTTGAAAGTGAAAGACAGAAAAAGGCTAGTTGTCAGTTATTTGCACATATCTGATACGTTTCATACCATTATTACAAAGTTTTCAAAGTTTACAATTTTTAGAATGTGACATTTATGTGGAACGTGAAGGACATTCATCCTCCCTTGTCCTTTGGTAATGGAGAATGAAGATTGGAGTATCAAAGGAAGACTTTTCATAACACAAACTAGCGTACTTCAGTATGGAGTTGTTGACATGCTATATTTGGTCATGGTTTTTTTGTATGCAAAGTGAACAGCTGTATTTTGTTTTTTATGAATGTGTGTGTGGATTAGGAGCAGCAGCATTTTACACAGGAAGTGGTATCTCGTGGCAACTGTCACCTAGGTGTCATGTGAGGTGTGTGTGGATTAGGAGCAGCAGCATTTTACACAGGAAGTGGTATCTCGTGGCAACTGTCACCTAGGTGTCATGTGAGGTGTGTGTGGATTAGGAGCAGCAGCATTTTACACAGGAAGTGGTATCTCGTGGCAAACTGTCACATAGGTGTCATGTGAGGTGTGTGTGGATTAGGAGCGGCAGCATTTTACACAGGATATGGCTCAGTCTTGTCCTGTATGTTGACCTTTGTGCGACCATTTGACCTTTCTCAGGTTCTGAGTCAAGCTAGGTCCTCAATAATATAATAAAATGATGTGTTTGATGACAGACTGCTGTTTTCTATTTCAGAACGACATCTCAACAGGGAACATCGAGGTGATAGGGGGAGACAACCTGGCTAATCTTGAAGGAAAGGTGAGATAACTCTAACCCCTCATACTGCATAGAAAGCTCTGTCACAGATTCAGTCTCCATTTCGTATTTTACTGATACCTTCTGTTATAGAATCACGGTTGATGATACACCAGGCAATGTATAAATATAGCATGTGTGGAGTTGATTGAAAATAGCAATAGCTAAGTCAAACTCTAAGACTGTCACAGGGGCTTGTAACGCAAAAAATAACAGCTTCAAGATATATGGTAACACACAGTGTCAGTATGCTATATAAAAGGAAAGGGATGTAACGAGACCAACTCACTAAGTTCGTTCGAGGACAAATTCAACAATGTCCACTGTAAATACCCCTATAAAACTCAACACTCATTTCAAGCCAATACATTTAGAAACACAATAAGACATAGATGAAGAAAATCGAAGCCGTACTTTTGGAGCTAGCCTCTTCAGAAGCTCAAAATATTGTGAGTTTTCGAGTCCGAGTCAGAATCTCAGAATTTGTACTGATAACTTACCAATTTTTTTGTTTATTAGATTGTGTACACAAATACCAAAACACATTCAATCGATGGCACCTGTTACCCCGCCCTTCATCATTCTTTCCGCGACACATAAACCTGATGGTATAATGAGTTTACGTACATTTATTCGTTTCAAAAACCCCTTTGCCGTGCCCCTTCCACCATAGTCGACCTTGGCCTTGACATACCCTACACTGAAAAAAGTCGTGCCATTCATTTAGCAGACGATGAAGAGGACAAAAAACTATTTTATTTATAGCCAATCAGATTGCTGGCTATTCAGTGCAGGGTATGTCAGGGCCAAGGAAGTCTGTGACGGGCGGGACATGGCAAAGGGCTTATTGAGACGGAAAATCCCGAGGCAAGGGTGTTTACTGACTATTAAAGTCCAGTTTCTGCTGTGTGAGAGTTGACTTGTCATGGATTTACCTGGGTCTGTGAGAGTTGATTAGACACAGGGATTTACCTGGGTCTGTGAGAGTTGACTAGTCATGGATTTACCTTGGTCTGTGAGAGTTGACTAGTCACAGGGATTTACCTGGGTCTGTGAGAGTTGACTAGTTACAGGGAGTACCTGGGTCTGTGAGAGTTGATTAGTTACAGGGATTTACCTGGATCTGTGAGAGTTGATTAGTTACAGGGATTTACCTGGGTCTGTGAGAGTTGACTAGTCACAGGGATTTACCTGGGTCTGTGAGAGTTGACTAGTCACAGGGATTTACCTGGGTCTGTGAGAGTTGACTAGTTACAGGGAGTACCTGGGTCTGTGAGAGTTGATTAGTTACAGGGATTTACCTGGATCTGTGAGAGTTGATTAGTTACAGGGATTTACCTGGGTCTGTGAGAGTTGACTAGTCACAGGGATTTACCTGGGTCTGTGAGAGTTGACTAGTCACAGGGATTTACCTGGGTCTGTGAGAGTTGACTAGTCACAGGGATTTACCTGGGTCTGTGAGAGTTGACTATTCACAGGGATTTACCTGGGTCTGTGAGAGTTTACTAGTTACAGGGAGTACCTGGGTCTGTGAGAGTTGATTAGTTACAGGGATTTACCTGGATCTGTGAGAGTTGATTAGTTACAGGGATTTACCTGGGTCTGTGAGAGTTGACTAGTCACAGGGATTTACCTGGGTCTGTGAGAGTTGATTAGTTACAGGGATTTACCTGGGTCTGTGAGAGTTGACTAGTTACAGGGAGTACCTGGGTCTGTGAGAGTTGATTAGTTACAGGGATTTACCTGGGTCTGTGAGAGTTGACTAGTTACAGGGAGTACCTGGGTCTGTGAGAGTTGATTAGTTACAGGGATTTACCTGGGTCTGTGAGAGTTGATTAGTTACAGGGGTTTACCTGGGTCTGTGAGAGTTGACTAGTGACAGGGATGTACCTGGGTCTGTGAGAGTTGATTAGTTACAGGGATTTACCTGGGTCTGTGAGAGTTGATTAGTCACAGGGATTTACCTGGATCTGTGAGAGTTGATTAGTCACAGGGATGTACCTGGATCTGTGAGAGTTGACTCGTCACAGGGATCTATTTATTTTGATAAATAATTCTGCTTAAACTGATGTTTCAGATGACTTTTAATTTGCATCTGTTCACGTGCTGCCCCAGTGTGTAACATGTCACATAAACTCATAACAGAGATGCACATGTCTAGTTAACATACGTGAAATGTTGTGCCTTTTTTATACATTATACACTCTTGTAGATCTCATACATTATACACTCTTGTAGATCTCATACATTATACGCTCTTGTAGATCTCATACATTATACACTCTTGTAGATCTCATACATTATACACTCTTGTAGATCTCATACATTATACACTCTTGTAGATCTCATACATTATACGCTCTTGTAGATCTCATACATTATACACTCTTGTAGATCTCATGTATGTGTCTGATCCCTGCATTTGATCAGTAAATACAGATTTGTACAGAATTACAAGTAAGCAATGTGAAATCATACATTGTGTAATTAGTACTAATTAAGTACATCGAGTGTTGTGGTTTTTGAAATTTTTCAAGCAAGTTTGTACACATGCAACTCAAAATTAATTGGATAATGGTGACTTATTTTGCATATTTCAAGCACATACACCGCTTATCTGGAGCTCGGCCATGTGATCGCACAGGCACAGAAGCTTAAAAGCCTATTCTTGATGGGGTTAAAGCTTGAAGAACATCAACCATAGGCACCCTGAACTTTGAGTAGATTTCTTATAAAAGAAATGTCAGTTATATGTAACATGCAATCTACAATTTTCGTAAATTAAATGACAGCCATACTTTTTTGTGTCCCACAGGACTTACAATGTCAATTATTATTGGATTACTATCATGAACTATAGGATGCAGTATTTTCCTTCTGGAACAATTCTGAGTCATCCTATGGGCTTAATTGCTTAAACTGCTTAAAGTTAAGTGTAATTATTGACAGAAAGCCTCATGAGTCTTTCTAGACCGCAGATAAAAACCAATCGCCATAGAAATACATGAACTCCAGGTAATTACACAGGTTCTTCATGGAATCTTTTCAAATCAACATTGCTGTGAGAAATAAGTTCAGGATAAATTCTACACAAGGATATCCTCAGAGTTGTTTCATTATCTACACGTGCAGGACGACGAAGCAAGCCTTTGTATGTTTTGGTGAAAGAGATTAACCTAGCAAATCCTATTAATTTCCTCCAGCTAAGTAATTGTGTAGATCATTAAATCTTTCCTGAAGGCTGCATCATCTCGTTAGCAGACATGGATATTGATTGAGAAATCTCCAGAAGAGGGCTATTGCATGTGTGGCATGCTCGTCATCAGTGTTGATGAAGTTGATGGAAGAGTTTGTGATGAAATGTGGGGCTTGAGTAGCCAGACTTGGCCAATTCTCTGCAAATAATGTTTCTATAAGAATTGGAGTGACCAAGTCATCTGAAGCGCCAGAGTTGCATCCCTTGGCCACCCCACAAACCTTTGATTGTTGGTTCAAATCCCAGATTTGCTCTGATTATGTTTCTAGGTTTGTCCGCACCAGACCTGTGCTAATGGGTGTCACCAATGTCACCATCATCTTCCACTTACTCCCTCTTCAAGCTGACATGCTTTGATATCACTGAAATTCTGTTCAAAGTGGCGTTCAGCCAAACCCGCCTGCTCACTTCTACCAGAATGTATTTTAATGGGAGATAACCCCTTATACCTGATTTTCACATTATCCTGACCAAACCTCATGAAGCATCGTAAAATCTCTTCCCCGGTCCTGTCAAGTGAGGATGTAGGGAGATTCTGTGAGTCGGCAAGATGAGGGGGCCGAGGAGTGCACCAGCAGTAACAGGCCTTCCAATGAAAACTGACAGACTGCAACAGAAAACTGTCATATGTCTACAATACACAAGTAATCAGCAGCATAAAACAATGAGAACAAGACAATGAGAACAAGACAATGAGATCAAGACAATGAGATCAAGACAATGAGAACAAGACAATGAGAACAAGACAATGAGATCAAGACAATGAGAACAAGACAATGAGATCAAGACAATGAGAACAAGAATGAAGTTGATAGTCATGATCACGAGGATCAACAAACAGCGAGTTAAACATCTTTCAGCGCCAATATAGAATATTCTAGATGTATATTGTTGTATTGCTGCTGTCAGATTTAAATCAACTAGTTGTTTGTTGATCCTCATGACATGATTGTCAACGCCCTTCTTGTTCTGTGCTAACTAGGACTGGACTAACGAGTCTATGCATAGTCCAATCAAAATCGTGCAACGAAATTGAAATCCGGTTCGTAAAGTGGCATGCAGATTTCGGTCGATTGCAGGATTTGCAAAGCATGTGCACCACCAACACGTTGTCAACAGATATTTTCCTAATCTTTTCATGTATTTAATTAAGGTGATTTGATGCACTTCGTAATGTAAGACCAGTTTTATCACAGTATAGATATTGATTATTGATTAGATAGTCTTGACTGGGCACTGCCATTTTGTTTGAAGCAAATGCAAGTAACACAAGAGGTGGAATCTGATTGGTCCATATGAGAGGCATAGAAGGGACATAACTAGCCACTGATGGCGCTACGATTGGGCCCAGGAATTCCAGCCTAGTTCGGCAAGAGTGGAAACTGGACTTTTGTAGACAGTTAGCTCTCTTGCCTCGGGAAGATGTCATTGGAAGGCCTGAGGGAGAAGTGCAGCGCGTGATATGATAGAAACAGAACTGGGCACGTCTGCCTTTCAGTCACTTGCCCTCTGACTCTTTGCTCATCCATTTCATTCCCCTCTCTCACTCATCCTCTCCATCACTTGGTCTCTCCCACATTCACTCACTCACTCTCTGGGTCACGGGATGCAGAATCAACTACGAGTCTGCAGTTCCCTGTGTAGAGTTGTGGCCCCTTGTAGTGCATGAATCCGATGATAACTTAAATATTGTTGAAAGGGTTTTTACCTCGACTTACATCCAGAGGACTAATTTATTTAAAGTACCGTATTCGACGTAATAAGCGCCCTGCTCAAATAAGCGCCTAAGGCGATATTTGCTAATATATTGACTAGTGAACAATCTCAGTTAGCACCCCTTCAAATTGAACAATGTACACAAGACTTATTTATATGTGTATAATACACACTCATATGTTATATGCACCCTTAATTATGGGCAATTAAATTCTGGAAAAATATATCTGTCGTATATAAACATTTCAGGCTGTCAGCATAAACCACGACATTTACGATCTTTCAACTCAAAATAATATTCTAATAAGAGCCCCCTATTTCTGATTTTGGGAGCACTCACTCACTCACAATTGATCTTCAGCAAACCTTGCTCGCCGCAAGATGCGACTAGCACGATCGGGTGGTCAGACTCGCTGACTTGGTTGATGCATTTCATCATATCCGAATTACGTACATTGATGCTCATGATGTCAGTCACTGGATTGTCTGGTCCAGACTTAATTATTTACAGATCACCTTCATACAGCTGGAATATTTGCTGAGTGCAGAGTTGGACAAGAAACAAATACTCACTCTGGCTATTTAAGTGGAATCAGTGCTGTAGCTTCAGATAGTGACCTTGACCTTTGTTCTGCTATTTCAGAATGTTTTGGTTGTGGAAGACATCATCGACACTGGTGGCACGATGACGCAACTGCTCGCACTCCTGAAGGAAGTGAAGCCCAAGTCTGTCAGAGTGGCAAGGTAACATTGAGTAGGGGTCGAAGGTTATCTCAAATGTTTATGAAAGGGATCTTTATCATGAGACAAACGGACTTGGGCTGTGGGGTTCGTGCCAGTTTCTCTCCCTGCTATTCTGGTGTTCCCCCCACCCAGATATTGCTGGAATATTCCAGAAAGTGACATAAAATCATACTCACTCACTCACTCTTCCTGCTATCCCTGATCCAAGAATAATGTTGCCGTCAGTGGTTCAGATGCCTGTCAGGGAACACTTTCTAGTGTGGTTAGCGCAGGTCAGGTTAGTGAATGATGCTTAACGCCCAAGTCTGCAATATTCCAGCAATATCGTGACATCGTGAACACTTCCCATCACTATGTTGTTCTTAGTCAAGTAATGACTAGAGACCTAGAATAACGGAAGTCAAATGAGCCCCACTTTTAGCATGTACTATGTACCTACATTGGAGGGCGGTGGGGTAGCCTTGTGGTTACATTTTCACTAGTCATGCATATAATTTGGGCTCTCCATATTGTGAATTATTGTAATACAATTTATGTGCCCTTATGCCAACCCAAACAGATGATACATTACGTTGCTGATGTAATCTTAATAGTTTCCAAGGCTGTGGTTGATGTTGATGCTGTTGTTGATGTGGTTGATGTGGACACTGTGGTTGATGTGACTGTTGTGGTTGATGTGGATGCTGTGGTCAATATGGTTGATGTAGATGCTGTGATGTAGGTGTTGTTGTTGTTGTTGATGTTGTTGTTGTTGATGCGTGGTCGATGTGGTTGATGTAGATGCTGTGGTTGATATAGATGCTGTGGTTGTTGATGTGGTTGATGTGGTCACTGTGGTTGATGTGACTGTTGTGGTTGATGTGGATGCTGTGGTCAATATGGTTGATGTAGATGCTGTGATGTAGGTGTTGTTGTTGATGTTGATGTTGTTGATGCATGGATGCTGTGGTCGATGTGGTTGATATAGATGCTATGGTTGTTGTAGATGTTGTGGTTGATGTGGATGCTCTGGTCAATATGGTTGATGTAGATGCTGTGATGTAGGTGTTGTTGTTGATGTTGATGTTGTTGATGCGTGGATGCTGTGGTCGATGTGGTTGATGTACATGCTGTAGATGCTGTGGTTGATATAGATGCTGTGGTTGTTGTAGATGTTGTGGTTGATGTGGATGCTGTGGTTGATATGGTTTATGTAGATGCTGTTAATGAAGATTCTGTGGTTGATGTTGATGTTGTGTTGCAGTTTGCTGGTCAAGCGGACGTCCAGGAGTGTGGGATACAGGCCAGACTGTAAGTTGTTAATGTTGAATGTCACAAGTCAGCTCACATCTGAATTCGAAATTCCATTTCCAAAATTATCAGACACCTTAAGCAGTAACATTTGATAAGGGGTGAAAGAAGACACACTAGTTGTGATCTGTTGTGTTTTGATAATAGTTGAAAGTAATGTCAAATTAGCTCCATGCTTCCCATGGCTGGTACATAGTGAAATGTAATGATTTTGGGGGGTTTCAAAACTCGGTATGGTTTTTGTGGAGAACAACTAATCAGGGTTGGTTGTTTCACACTGCACTCAGCAGTATTCCAGCTATATGATGGCGGTCTGTAAATAATTGAGTCTGGACCAGACAATCCAGTGATTGATATGAGCATCAATCCACGCAATTGAGATACGATGACATGCTTCAACCAAGTCAGTGAGCATTAAACATAATGAAGTTAGTAAGTTAGTCATGTTTATTGATGAATATCTTCAAAAGTTATATATGTAAAGAAAGCAGAATTGTGTCATTGAACCAAGGAAAGCTGTATCTTATAAATTGCAGCCTTCCTGTGTGTTGGTCGAGACGTATGATGTCCATTATGGCATGACAGGGAAGTTATTACGAAAAAATACAAACTGGCTAACATTGTACAATTTTGTTACGTTTGATCCTGAATTGGTTGCTCTCTCTACAAAACATACCAGCATTTCCATTTCACAATCGATCCATATCACTGACAATCAACTGTTGATCAGTTTATGATTGATTTGTTTGTGTCTAATCATGAGAAATGTGTGCATTTCAGATGTAGGCTTCGAGGTGCCGGACAAGTTTGTCGTAGGCTACGCTTTGGATTTTAACGAGTACTTCAGAGATCTAAGTGTAAGTTGGTTTCTATTGCTTACTTTCTGGTATTTGTGTACTGCTCAACTGGTTTGCGACCTTGGGCAGGCATGGTGTCAAAGGTGGCCCACTACGGGCCATCTCATTAGAAAGCATCCATCTCTTTATGCCTTTGTTTGCTTGACAAGCAGTTGATCATAGCCTTAATATTTTGAGTTATGCTTGGCTTTCTGGGGATCGGGTGGCCCAGACGTGTAAGGTGCTACAGGCAGAGTTGCATCCATTGGGCGGGATGTTATCCTATGTCCTAGTTCGTCCTGATAATGATCCTTGGTTGTCGCCTGTGTTGATGGATTTTCAACAAAGTGATAAACATCAAGAAGTTGCAATGGTTTGAGCTTTCCTCAGACATTATGTTTTATTTAAACTGACAAAGGGTCAAATAACTGATGTACTGTTCAAGGCATTGTGATTGCCTCAGTGGTGTATTGGACAGAGTCTTCCTGGAGAGAGGAAGGTCGGTGGTTCCATTTGCTGGGTGTGTCATTCGAAAACACACTAATAAATTGAAGTTGTTGTTACCCTGCCTGGTGTTTGCCATTTAGTAGATAAAACAAAGACTGGTTGGCTTAGAGTCACTATACTGTGTCAGAGTGGGGTATTCATGTTAAACTGTGTCATGGTGTCTCAGTGGGCTAGCACTATAAAACCAGCTGATACATGTGTGCATGAGCATCGCTATATAAGAGCAATAATCTTGGAACTCGACATGAAACCGCATTTCACCTCACCTATGACTGCCATTCTGGCTTCAATTGTGTGAAATTGTGATTCCTGGTTTATGAGGATTTGTGTTTTAAAACTTTTTTCTTCTATTGCAGCATATCTGTGTCATCAATGACAATGGCATCAGCAAATACTCGGTGAAGAGATAGGCAAGGCGGCGGCCATATTGTTTTATACTGCAGCAGATAAGGGGAGATCATTCCAGTCGCCACTTCTCAGGTCTGCAGCGCTGATACACAACACATCCAACAACAATTTCTTTAGTTAATTGAAAGAATCGTGTTTAACAAATGGTTATGAAGAGACTCTCTATGTAGCCTACTTGTGGTTATGAAGATCATATTTTGATGAAACAGATTTGAGCTGTTTCACATCTATTAACACAGCCAGATGTGAGATAATTTGTTTATATCACCAACTTGTGTATCCAGTCCCCAAGGAAACAAATATCAACTTTACAGCATTCATTTCATTTCTGCACCTGTAACAGAAATTACTTTTTTGATCGTAGGACTTTATATGTTGTTGTTGTGTTTGTGGTGATGCAGTGGAATATCTGTTGTAGGTTGCTTAAAAAATGTTTTAGAAACATAACCATAGCCTCATTGAAAGAGTGATCATCGTGTAAGTCCTTCGTCATCCTGTATTAAAATTTGAGCAACAACAGTTGTAGTGTAATTGATGTTTCTACTGAGACTTCACCTTTTCTAAGATGTGTTTTTATATAATCTTTATTTCTACCTGGTAGTCTATTTCTGTGTCCATGTGACACAAGAAGGGGGTTAGTGGGCATTTGGGGGCACAGACACAACCTGTAGTCCGTTAGACAGAGACTAGTGAAAATTTAGATGGACCTGTTGTTTTCTCCCCTGATTTAGTTATTTTACATAACCTCTGGTTGGAAGTGAGCTGGCCGACATGACCAGTGGTGTCTACCCCTGATTTAGTCATTTTACATAACCTCTAGTTGGAAGTGAGCTGGCCGACATGACCAGTGGTGTCTACCCCTGATTTAGTTATTTTACATAACCTCTAGTTGGAAGTGAGCTGGCCGACATGACCAGTGGTGTCTACCCCTGATTTAGATGTACATTCACTTGTTAACTCCCTGCTACACTCTACTGTGGTGGCATTTAGAGTCATTCATCATGTAAATTTTAAATTAAAGGGAAATTAATAGTATTAAACATTTATGAATATTTTAACCAGATTTAGGTCAAACATGTTCAGTTTAGAAAACATTACTTCTATATGTTATCATGTTATTTTATTGGCTAATTGGAAAACATGACCCTCAATTTCAAATGTGCAGCAACGTTTTGTGGATTATGTCCCTACAGCGCTACAATGTCAGGGGTAAAAAAATGTTGCTGTAAGCCATACACGAGTCGTCGTATAATGAGAATTTATTCCCTTTTTGTTAGATAAGGCCATATTTGACTTTTAGTCCATGATTCTTGGCATCAAAGCTTCATATCAGCGATAGATTGAGGAGCCAAAACTAATGATTGTACTATACCATTCAAAGGAAGTTAAAGAACACCAGGTTCTTTCCTATTGTTATAGTTAATCTGCCATGGTATAAGTAGTATATGTTTTACATTTATAACATTAGTCCAAATTTGTAGTTATTCATTTAAGCCATGCAGAGTTGTGTCCCCTAGCCATGCCAGGATCTGGTAGTGGGATAAAATTCCATATTCACTATGATTGTGATCCTTAGTCTATCAGAACCATGCCTACCTTTGTTTGTGATTTTGACCCAAGTTATAAACGTCTGTTCACAACTTTGTCTTGGCTCTTGTATCCAGATGACACCAGTGCTGATATTCCAGTGCTTCATGGAGATACAGGTCAATGTCCACACAAAACTGTGTCTCTAGTTGTTCCAGCACCGAGACAGCATGGATTCTCAAGATTGTTTGTGATCAGTTATATCAATCATTATGGATGAATGATCTTTGATGAACAATCATTAGTGAGTCATAGAGGAAACTATACAAGTAATGATGTCGTCCTCGCTGACTTTCTTTTGCAGCTGTATATCATGATGTGAAATTCAAGCACAATTAATGGGTGTGGTGTGGGACTCTTGTCCCTGCAAGCACAGACAGACAGACAGACAGACAGACAGACTGACAGAGACACGCTGCATAAGTACAATAATTTTGGAACACGACAATGAACCTGATATCACCTAGAAAACAAGATCTTCGGTGTTTGGTTTTGCTGCTAGTAGTGCTCCCTCACCATGATATTGCTGGGGATATTGCTCACAGTGGTGTAAAACGCAACTCCCTTACTCACACTGCTTTCATGCTTTAGTTGCCTACAGTAACTGCACTGTTCCCTCGCTATTGTGCCCTCAATATAGCGCTAACTCAGTTGTAGTGCAGTAACTGCACTGTTCCCTCGCTATTGTGCCCTCAATATAGCGCTAACTCGGTTGTAGTGCAGTAACTGCACTGTTCCCTCGCTATTGTGCCCTCAATATAGCGCTAACTCGGTTGTAGTGCAGTAACTGCACTGTTCCCTCGCTATTGTGCCCTCAATATAGCGCTAACTCAGTTGTAGTGCAGTAACTGCACTGTTCCCTCGCTATTGTGCCCTCAATATAGCGCTAACTCGGTTGTAGTGCAGTAACTGCACTGTTCCCTCGCTATTGTGCCCTCAATATAGCGCTAACTCGGTTGTAGTGCAGTAACTGCACTGTTCCCTCGCTTTTGTGCCCTCAATATAGCGCTAACTCGGTTGTAGTGCAGTAACTGCACTGTTCCCTCGCTATTGTGCCCTCAATATAGCGCTAACTCGGTTGTAGTGCAGTAACTGCACTGTTCCCTCGCTATTGTGCCCTCAATATAGCGCTAACTCGGTTGTAGTGCAGTAACTGCACTGTTCCCTCGCTATTGTGCCCTCAATATAGCGCTAACTCGGTTGTAGTGCAGTAACTGCACTGTTCCCTCGCTATTGTGCCCTCAATATAGCGCTAACTCGGTTGTAGTGCAGTAACACGAGGCTTCCAAAATTTACTTCCATTTTTAGTGAACTCAAGTTTTACACAATGTCTTTCCCCCATCTCGAAAAACATTATCAGCTGATCAACGAGAAATAACAGTCAACAAATCTAGACTGAAGTACACAAATTAATGCCATTATATATTTATATATCTGGACTTCTGTTTGCAATATATTTGATTGATTTTATTCAAATTTCATTCAATATTGTTCAGTGAAATTGTATGTGAAGTGATCAGTAGATTGCACAACTCACCATTATTTACAGCAACCAGTCAGATTACTGCTATTGACGCCTTGAAACGAACTTTGGTTGCCAGAGAATTGCTACATGTATCAGTATATGCAGTAATTATATGTATTATCATTTTAAGAACATTTCATATATCTATTTGGTCAATTTCTCATTATAAAACAAGGGGGAAGTCCCTGTGCATAGTTGCTTCCCTTAGGAGTGCCAGAATCCGATGACTGTGGGTTTGAATCCTGGTTCGCCTGATTATGTTTCTAGGTTTGTCAGCACCATACCCACGCGCGTGGGTTTCACCGGAGTGGTAAACGTCTGAGACCTGCATCACTCCAGGCTTTCCTCCCATCAGTCTGACTGACACAAAGTATTACAACAGAAATACTCTTAAAAACGCAACATTCACTAACACACTCACTAAATTCATCTATGAATTTGTAATGACTGTAAAGCTGGTTGGTTGGTTTGTTGTTTAACATTTGTTTAACGCCGCACTCAGCAATATTCCAGCTATATGACGGCAGTCTTTATATAATCGAGTCTGGACCAGACAATCCAGTGATTAATATCATGAACATTACATCGTCCCGAGGTATGGGAGTGCAGTTGCCACCCTTACTGTATTAGGCTAGAATTATGGAGTTATGTTTTGGGCTGGACTAAAGTCCAATCAAAATCTGGTAAGGAAATTGACATTCGGTTTGTCAACCGCCGTGTAGATTTTGGTTTATTGCAAGATTTGTAGAGCATGTGCACCGCCAACTTGGCATCAACAGATATTTTCCAAATCCAATCATGTTCCTAATAATGGTGCTCAGGTGATTTGATGCACCTTGCGAAGTAAAACTCATTTTATTACAAATAGATCTTAACTATCGATCTAATCATCTTGACTGGCTTCGGCCATGTTGGTTGAAGCAAATGCAAGTGATATGAGAGGTGGAATCTGATTGGTCAATAGGAGGGACATAACTCGTAATAGCCACTGGTGGTGCTACAATCGAGCCACGAAACTCCAGCCTGGTTTGGCAAGGGTGGAAACGACTTTTATAGTCAGTTACCTCCCTTGCCTCGGGAAGATTGGACTATTATTGTGGGATGTGATCAGTCATTTGTTCTGTGGTTTTACTGGTTTCTTTTTGGAAGCAGGCCATTGCCTGATTTGTTTGTTATCAATAACAACTACATGGCAATCTGCTGATGGTATTGACAGGTGATGTGGGAACACAGTGTATACAAATGGGGGAGTATTGATGATAACATTAGAACTGCTACCAGATACTTTGTACTCTGTCGGTCTTAGACAGTATGGTTTGTTGTGTACACCGAAGATTTGTTTATTTCATCACAATTAAGTTGTTAATAAATGTTATATGATCTTAGTTATTTTCTTTTTAGCATGTACCTGTTACTAATGAGGAATGGGTAATTACTTTGCTAGAACTTGTTCTTGGTTCTTTTCATGTACCATATTTGCCGTAATAAGTGCCTTGGCAATTAAAAATTGGACAAATAGGGGTTCGAAATTAATTTTAAAACCATTCACAGGTCAAATTTGTTGTCAGATCGTGAGGCTGCGAAAAGTATTAGTTCCAATGTCTGTGAAACTAAACCTTTTTTCATAATTAAATATAGTTATATATCCTTCCTACTCTGCTGTGTTTACTGTAAAAAGAAAATATGTATTGTCATGTCAAATGCAGTTCTGCAAGGAATACTTACAGATTGATCGAGAAGTTTGCCAGGGGCTTGTATTGAAGCAGGGCGCTATATACGGTGAATACGGTATATGATTTAACTCAAGTTTTCGGGTGGGTGGGTGTGTGTCATTAGGGTCGCAATTGTACATTCAGGGTCTTATATGATAATATTGATATCAGATATACTGTAATTGTTTATTGAAGTTTGTATTTTGTTAATTTGATTTTACATTATAGTTGTTTTTTATTGAAATAGTCATTTCACATGTTTTTACACTGTAATACTGTTATTATTGGAAAGAATATATAGTTACATGTATAATGACATAATATCAGTTAGTGTTGTGGGCGCTCCACGTCGCTGTGCAGAGTTGCATCCCTTAGGTATGCTAGAAACCTATGATTGTGGGTTTCAAAACCCCCTATTTGCTTTGACTTGGTTCCTTGGTTTGGCAGCACCATACCTATGCATTTGGGTTCCACTAAAGTGGTAAAGATTTTAGACCTTTTATCACTTTGGGTTTTCCTCGCCCCACATTAAGCTGACAAGCCCTGACACAGTGTTAAAAGCAGCGTTAAGCCCAACTCACTCACTGAATCAGGATAGTAGCAGAGAGCAAAGAAGCTGTTTCAGAAATTCATGGTATTTGTTGTTTGATATTTTGAAGATTTCACACAGTCATGTTCGAATAAAAAATATATCCTGTACAGGGTGCTTTTAAATTTATAGTATTGAGGTACTGTTCATTGTTTAATGTCATACAGTATCTTTGTGTGACAGGTGCTTTCAGTTACCACTTTCCCATACTCAGAAAAGGTGGCACCATGGTTGGTGCCATAACACAAATACGGGTTTGATTCCCCACATTGTGGGAAGCCCATTCTTAGTGTCCTTACTGTACTCTGTTAAAAAATTGTAGCAGTTTTCATCCTCACTTGTCTAGGGAAAGTTTACTTTGGTAATGATTACCTACCCTGGAGGGTGGTGGGGTAGCCTAGTGGTTAAAGGGTTCACTAGTTAACTGAAGACAGGGTTTGGTTCCAAACATGGGTGCAATGTGTGAAACCTGTTTCTGATCTCGCTGCCATGATATGGCTGGAACATTGCTAAAAGTGGCTAAAAACCCTGCTCACTTACTCACACCTAAACAAGGTAATAGAGAATTCCACCCTCATGTCTTTGGATTTCAAATATATCAACACAAGTTGATAAAAGTTTAAAGCTCCATGCTTGCTGATGAATTTTTAACTTGTTTATACGTGTGTTGATATATTTGATGTCAAAAGACACGAGGGTGAGATTCTGTTTATCATCCAATATCATTCTCCCTACATTTTCAGTTTGTAGAAATAATAACAGTGTTTGGAATAAAAAGTACGGCTATCCAGCTTCAGTGGCAGAGAGATTAGTTATTTCATTTGATAGTAATCGATGACATCACAGTTGTCTGCAAAGCACTGTTTAGCAATTTCATTGTAGCCACTTGATCTCACCCAACGATAGCTCCTGTGAGAGCCAGTTTGGGATGATTGAGTATATTACACATCCTCATGACTTGGCCATGGATGTAGTACTGATTAAGGAAATAGGGAACACATAGAAATATAGCAACGTGCATGTTTAATGTCGCACTCGGCAATATTTCAGCTATATGAAAGCGACCTATATATAATCGAGTCTGGACCAGACAATCCTTTGATTGATATTATGAGCATTGGTCCATGTCGTCAGTGTATGATGATAGCTATGAATCAAGTCAATGAGCCTGTCAGCCGATCCGCTAAGTCGCTGTAATGTTTACATGGGTTGTTCAGACCAGTTCTAATCCAGAATCCTCGCAGGATACATAATGTAGTGAGGAGGCATGGGTGTCCCAGTCGTCTAAGGCGCCGCAATTCGCTGTGCAGAGTTGCGTCCCCTGGACACGCCAGAAACCTGTGATTCAGGGTTTGAATCCCAGTTTGCCCCGATTATGTTTCTAGGTTTATCAGCACCATACCCGTGCTCATGGGTTTCACCAAATTGGTAAACGTCTGAGACCTGCATCACTTCTGGCTTTCCTCCAACATTAAGCTGACACGCCGCAATATAACTGTAATAATGTTAAAAGCAGCGTTAAACCCAACTCACTCACTCACTCACTCACTCACTCACTCACTCACTCACTTAATACTTTCATGATCCAAACATGCAGGCTGCCATGATATAGCTTTCATGATGCAAACATGCAGGCTGCCATGTTATAGCTTTCATGATCCAAACATGCAGGCTGCCATGATATAGCTTTCATGATCCAAACATGCAGGCTGCCATGATATAGCTTTCATGATCCAAACATGCAGGCTGCCATGATATAGCTTTCATGATCCAAACATGCAGGCTGCCATGATATAGCTTTCATGATCCAAACATGCAGGCTGCCATGATATAGCTTTCATGATCCAAACATGCAGGCTGCCATGATATAGCTTTCATGATCCAAACATGCAGGCTGCCATGTTATAGCTTTCATGATCCAAACATGCAGGCTGCCATGATATAGCTTTCATGATCCAAACATGTAGGCTGCCATGATATAGCTTTTATGATCCAAACATGCAGGCTGCCATGATATAGCTTTCATGATCCAAACTTGCAGGCTGCCATGTTATAGCTTTCATGATCCAAACATGCAGGCTGCCATATAGCTTTCATGATCCAAACATGCAGGCTCCCATGATATAGCTTTCATGATCCAAACATGCAGGCTGCCATGTTATAGCTTTCATGATCCAAACATGCAGGCTGCCATGATATAGCTCTAATGATCCAAACATGCAGGCTGCTAGATATAGCTTTTATGATCCACAGTTTCAATGATAAGCACAGTTTTGATTACTCATGTGAAGGGAACTATACTTCTCAAAAGAAGTTAAGGATCACCCGATTCTTTCATATTGGTAATGTTAATCTGGCATGGCATGAGAGATGAACTATTTTAATATGAAAGAATCAGGTGATCCTTAACTTCTTTTGAGTAGTATAGATTAATGGAAATCTCTTTAAAATAAGATGTTTACTTGGATACAATACCTGTATTATTTTAATGAGTTGCATTAATTCTTACGTGAGAAACGATGGAACATAAAACGTAGTTTCTGAATTACAAAATGTGGAAGAGACCTTTCCCAATATATCATGTATAGCCTGCGTCACAACTGTCGCCCAGTAAGTTAGACGTTTTCAGGGATATTCAGTAAGATTAGGAGACAGCAGCACAGCCTTAAAGGGGGCAAATAGAACATTGTTTCATAATATCCATATATTTTATCTTTCATGAACAGAGGTCTGCGAAGTGGCCAGATGCCGTTATAGCAATGGTTCTGTCGTCTACCCAGCGTTAGCTGTAAGGAGGGAAGAGAGTATAGTGAAAACACAGGCTGTGAATACAGCGTGGAACATTTAGTTAGATGACAGAAAATCGAAAGTATGTTTGTTGTTTAACGCCATACTCGGCAATATTCCAGCTATATGACGGCTATCTGTAAATAATCGAGTCTGGATGAGACAATCCACTGATTGATACCCAATAAAAAAGAAAAGAAAAGAAGCCTTATAACGATTTGATCATAACTTTCAACAAGCTCCAGAAGTTAAACTGAAATACAATTGTAAGTAGGAAAAAACATTCAATGAAACAGTTGTGTAATGCAGTAGAAAATCGTTCAATCCTACATTCTATTTTTGATGGAATTGACCGCTTTACACAAGAGCAACAATCACTTTCTGTTTTGTTATGTCCTCGACCCACGCAACTGGAATACGATGACATGCTACAAGTCAGGAAGCCTGACCACCCGATCCCAAACAGGGTCGAACTATAAAAAAAACGCCATGTGCGATTGAAGATTGCTAACAATTATATTTGAAATATGGACCAAAAGATTTGCCATGACTAACATGAACGATGAGCCAAAAATCAGTGTCTGAAATATGCCGAAAGAGGGGAGGGGACTTACTGGGGATTTGCAAGGAAAACAAAACACAATATAGCGTAGGGAATGGACAGACCTAAAGTAAAACAAAATACAGTAAACTACTGTTATAACGAACTCAAAGGGAACACTAATTTTAGTTCGTTATAAGCGTAGTTCTTTATAAGCATATATACAACAGTTGTTTGTGTGTGTGTGTTCTTTTCCTGCGACGACACAAAGTCGACATAACTGGAATATTATTTATGGATATTCACACACGGAAGCAAGGGCATCACCGTTTAGCATTTAGCTTCACTGTCACATATTCAATCACGGGTGGCCCAGTCGACTATCAGGCGCCGCGATTCGCTGTGCAGAGTTGCGTCCCTTGGGCACGCCAGAAACCTATGATTGTGGGTTCGAATCCCGGTTCGTCCCGATTATGTTTCTAGGTTTGTCAGCGTCATACCCGTGCTCGTGGGTTTCACTGAAGTGGTAAACGTCTTAGACCTGCATCACTTCGGGCTTTCCTCCCACATTTAGCTGACACGCCGTGATATAACTGGAATACTGTTAAAAGCGGCATTTAACACAGCTCACTCTCACACATATCCAATTTTGAGCACTGCTACTTCATCAGCAATAAACATAGTCATCATAAATATCCTAAACTCTGGAGATGGCTCCAAATATATCAGCATCCCGACATTATGAACATATTTCTGCAGAATCTGAAGTCAAAGAAATCCAACTACGTGGACCGATGCTGCTGTTTTTGAAACTGATTAATGGAGTAACCTTTAGCAACACGTTTTTAACTGTATAACATCCAAGCACATAAATTGTTTCTCTCTGTTTCGTCTTTTGAAACCGACAAACTCTGAGAAGTCGGGCACGCTGTCTAAACCGACATGACAGAACGTGGTTACATAAACGGTTTCGATTTCAAATGGTTCGATATGTGTGAGTCAGTTTTGTTTTACGCCGCTTTAAATAACATTCCAGTTATGTCGACTTTGTGTGGTCGCAGGGAATGAACACACACACACACACACACACACACACACACACACACACTAATTACTGAGTCGGCCTTGGAACATGGGAATTGAAGTGTATGTGTCTAAGGCAATTGGGTATATAATAATCAGTTTTGTAGGAGTACACGCAATGCACTTCATATTGTTATCAACGTTAACTGTGTGACCACACTAATCAGGACGTCTCTCCATACATGTACATTGTAGGTGTTTTTAACCAAGAAAATGTACATGTATACACATCAACTGTACTAAAACCAGTGTCAAGGTGGTATTGATCAAACCACTACATACGTCTATGCTAGACCATACATGTATTTATGTAGATTTGTACAAGGTAAGAGACACAATCAAAGTTGATCAGCAATCACATATTCATGTCAAAAAGAATATTTAATGATAACATTATTAAAGCAGGGATATTTTACAAACTGGTGTTTACATGTATTACATCAAATGTACCTGCAATCTATCCACAGCGTAGCACCATGGTATACATTGTACATGTATGGAGAGTATTGCCATGGCCCGCCACGCGTTGATGGCGCGATAGTCCCTTAAAACTCCTAATTAGTGTCATAAAACAATAAAATAGTTTTCGTAGAAATCCGCGGATATTCGCGAATTATTTGCAATCTATCTGCGGAATATCCGCGGATTATTTGCAGTTTTACTGCAGAACACGATTACAAACTTTTGCGTTGTATTGTAGCCCCGAACCTACTGTCTGACGAAACCTGAGTTTCGACCGTGACCACTCCAGTAGCCAGCCAATTGTGAACGATTTATTTATCGAAGCCTGGAGGGTGAAAATACGAGATCTAGAAAGTCTTAAGATATACAGTGCGCGGACGTCGGAGATGACATCCTCCCCTGGACCGCCGGGGAATACAACTGACTGGGGCGGCAAGCTAACGTCCGTTTCTAAACACTGGGAAAACACGAATAGCGAACTAAGTACTATATCTACACTGAAGATATATGTGCCAAAATAAAGCGCTGAACATAAGCTATCCAACGGCATAATTAATTTGTTTTAATGATTTAAGATATTGATACATTGATCCTAAATGCTTTGTAAATTCGTCACTGGAATCCTGTGTTCGTCTGATGTCATCTAATCATAAACCTACTATTGTACAGCTATGGAAATTCATATTGAATGCAATGAAATTGTATAAGTCACTTCATCAGTAATTGTAATTCTGTAATGGGCCCGTGGCCTCTAACTTGAAATAAAGGTGTTACAATTTAAAATTCACAACAAGCTATGTACATTTATTGATGAGGCAAAAATGACCACAAATACGTGAGAAATATCTGAATGTAGATATAAATTCCCCTTATGTTTGCAAATCATAAATACAAAAACATTTTCAATACAAGAATATGGTAGCGAACATATGAGAGACAACATACATCCAGTCATTACATGGTTTGGAAGTGTCATTAGATCACAAGAGAATGAAATATACGGGCAATTAATTCTCTAACACAAAATGATCTCACACTGTATAATGACGACCGCCGGACTTTACCGAGAGGCGCCGGAAATAAAGCCGGGGAACAGACCGGCTTTAGACCGTGACATGGGTAAACACGAACCACGCTGACACTCCGTAACCAATCAAATTACAGATTTTCCTATCCATACAATCAAATTTTTTTTCTCCTCTGAGAAACCACCCAACAGTTTGGGTAGTGAAGTCAAAACCATGCACTTTGATTGCCTGATACTCATGTTTTACGAGCGGATCATTGAAGTGGTTAAGCACTACCGTATTACAGAGATAGAGTCTCACACATAACGCTCGACTTCCAGGCGTAGGAGACGGGAAGCAGATCGTAGGGTCCTTTGAGTGGGTGGGTGCGCGAGTGGGTGGGTGCGTGCGTGAGTTAGTTTTAACGCCCCTTGGATTAGTATTTCCGTTACAAGAATTAGCTTGATGTGGGAGGAAAGCCCGAAGAGATGCAGGTCTTAGACGTTTACCACTTTGGCGAAACCCACAAGCAGGAGTATGGTGCTGACAAACCTAGAAACATAATTAGGACGAATCTGGATTTCGAATCCATGATCGTAGGGTTCTGGCACGCCTAAGGAGCGTAAGTCCCCATTATCTTTAAGTGCCAGTTTGGAGTCGTACCAATGAAGACAACACACATCTTCAAGAGAACGTCATTGTGTGAGTCTCTGTACAGAAACTTCACACTGAAGTAAGAAGTTGAAATCCACAAGTTAATCCTCGCCTCATTGAAGATGTCGCGGCAATGTCCTTCATCCATCGCAAAATGTTCTCTTTTCCTCGTACTTACACTTTCATTTACTCGTTTGAAAAAAACAACAACTGCTGTAACATGAATTAATGGTAGCATGGTAATTGTTCAATTCAATTGGACAGTATGACATTTTAAACATCCTTAATAATCATGGCTGCTTAGTAGTTTTGATAATGACGTTTTTCAAAACTATTAATCTTTGTATCTCTAGTTCAAACTAATAGCTATGTAATCATCTGGAGCAGACAATCCAGTGATTGACATTATGAGCATTGATCTACGCAATTGGGATACGATGACATGCATCAACCAAGCTCAGCGAGCCTGACCACACGATCCCGTTTGTCGCCTCTTACGAGAAGCATTGGTTCCTGGATGTTCACGAGGTCACTTGGAGCATGTTTCCCCTTCATTAAGCCCTATTGTTTAGTATGCCACTTTCATCTGAGACCTTCGCCGCGAATAGCTGCAAAATTGCTGATGCGGCGTTAAGCAATATTCACTCACTCATCTGAGACCTATATGCCTAGATCTATAAATATGTTATTTGGAAAGAAAGTTGATGGAGCAAATAACTGCCACGTTATAAGGACAACAAGTAAGGTGGCATAGCATTGCGCCGTCTCTCTCTCGGACTGGTTCAAGCAGCCACACCCAACGTTTAACCCTCTTTCACCTCGCCAATTACACTCTTCAAAAAAGAAACGCACAGGTAGTATGTAGTTCATTGAACCTAACTACACAGAAAATCTTGTATATAAATTGGATAGTTCTCGCTATCACTAAACAAAGATCTGAGGACATCCCATTACGGGTCACGTCAGAACGACCTTTCATCCGACGAATCAAAGCGTCGCTTACCAGATCGTGAAAGTGACAGTCGGAATGTGTTTTCTAATAAACGCAACCACGAAAACGTTAACATGGGGTATTCCGAACAACAGTTACGGCCCGTACGACTGATTCCGTCAAAATCATCATCTATCTCTCGCTTCCATGGGATAACATTGAACGGAAGAGGCGTTGCGCGGTACGTGGGAAGCACTGCCATACAATCTCAACCATATGATAGACATTCCGGAATGTTCGTTTGTTCAGGTTTCAAAATTTTAATCGAGAACTTAGTCAACTTATTTTTCAAGCGTAGTCTGAAATGGAAGTCGCCAGGTTGAAACCGGTGCCGTAAAGTTCGAGAAAGCTGCTTTCTGATTGGCTGATGTCGACTTCGTGTTAGTCATTTCAGTCATTTCAGTGGTGCTTGTCTACCACTCTCGCCCAGTAGGACAACGTTTCATTATAATCCTTATCAGTGGTGCTTGTCAAACTCTCACACCTGCCCCATGAAAGGAAATTGTGCGTCTTGTAGCAGTGGCCATAAAAATATTCTGTTTTCAATAAATTTAATAAAAAATCATAGAATAATTAATTTGTCTGTCCTTTATCATGCCATATTTCAGACATACACACACGCACTATAACCATGCCTCACTGGAAGACACACACACGCTGTAATCATACACCTTGTTTTAGATGAGGATGACGTAATTCTTTCTGTCCCATCTGTACTTAAGTACCGTTACAAATACAACATAAATACCACATTTGTGGGACAATCTGTCATTAGTTATGACGTCGGAATATCAGATCTTCCGAGCTAATGAGCCAATCTATTTGGTTATTTTCTCTTTTCAGAAAAAAATCACATACATCGACAATGACAGTACTCCTACCATAGAATCAATAGACGACGCCAGCTCCGGCGCACAATGACGCGGAGAGGTTTGACGGGGAACGTTGTTGGGATATTCTGGTTAACGTCATATACAACATAGTCCCCTTAGCCTCACTTTAGGCATATTAGGGACATTCTCTGAATCTAGGTAATTCAGTGACATTCCTGAAACATGTATATCTATTGACATCTTCAGGAAGGACTTGGTCAGGGATTAGGAATCGACTTGTCCTGAAGTCCAATCAAGGTAAGTATTTATAGAATTGTTATTCTGCTGTTCATTTGTTTGTTGTACATGTTTTTTTTATAGGATATTTGGTAAACTCTGCAAATATTCGAATCTGTTCATTTTTCGCTCACGTCATACAAATGTGCATGGCATTTAGTTGTGTCATTTTAATCGGTTTTGTATTCAAAATTGTCCAATGTTATTTCATTTTCATGTCTCATTGTATTGCCAAACCTTTGACGATCCGGGTTAGAATTGGTCTCCACCAATCCATGCTTGTCGTAAGAGGCGACTAACGGGATCGAGTTGTCATGATGACGTGGTTCATGCATGTCATCGAATCCCAATTGCTTAGATCGATGCTGACAATGACAATCACTGGATTGTCTGGTCCAGACTCGAATATTTACAGACCGCCGTATAACTGGAATATTGCTGAGTGCGGCGTTAAAACAACAAACAAACACACTTTGCGGAAATGGTGCAGGCAAACTGACGAGATGTCTAAGAGCTTGAAAGGTTACTCACCGCCATAGGGTATGTCTGTAGATATGTGTCTAGCAGGCCGCTCTTATCAATCTAAATGTAACCCTTGGTCATTCCGGGTTAGAATACGCCCCCTGCAACCTATGCTTTTCACTCAAGGTGACACATTGGATCGGCGGTGAGGATCGATGACTTGGTTGAAACTGTCTCATTGTGGATCGTTGCTCACAATTACAAACACTGGTCGATTATTTACAGACAGCAGCATATAACTGGAATAGTACGAAGTGCAGCGTTAAACAAACAAACAAACAAACAAAGAGTCTGCCCTCTCGCATAGATTTGCATGTATGCATATTTACAATTTAATACATTAAATGTCAGAAGAGAAATGGTGAGTAAGTGAGTGAATGAGTACGGTTTTACGCCGCTTATAGCAATGTTCCAGCAATGGGCTTCACACATGGTACTCATGTGGGGAATCGAACCCGGGTCTTCGGGCGTGACGAGCGAACGCTTTAACCACTGGGCTACCGCACTGCCCCAGTAGAGAAATAGAGAATTGTTTGTGTTGTAACATTGCTCACTTAAACCGTTGTGTTTTCCATATAATATATCTATGTGTACATTCCAAAATGTTTTCGTTGACATGATTAATTAGGTAAAGCTGCATTGCCAACTAGCATAAAGTCATTATAAACATCACAAGCATCTTTCACAAATAACAACAGTGAGTGTATCAATTCGTTTCTTGTTGATTAATAATAGATATTCAATGAAATAATGATGTGAGGTTTCACATGGGCGACCGCGTCGGCAGTTTGGGGCGGTCGGGTAGCTTAGTGGTTAAAGCGTTGGCTCGTCACACCGAAGACATATGGGTACAATGTGTGAAACCCATTTCTAATGTCCCCCGCCGTGATATTGCTGGAATATTGCTAAAAGCGGCGTAAAACCATACTCACTCACTCCCTTTTTAAAACCCTTTTCCATTCACCATCACCGTGTCTTAATATTAAATTGATGATGCTAATTTGTTTAGACCATATGAGACCATATGAGACTATGATATGGTGGAACTGTAGATTTATCTGTTCGCAAAAGACCGCCTCCGTGTTCCTGTGGTAGAGCATCCGCCCGGAGAGCGGAAGGTCCGGGGTTCGATCCCCGGCCGCGTCATACCAAAAGACGTTAAAAGATGGTACTTGTTGTTACCCTGTCTGGCGCTCGGCATTAAGGGGCTAAAACAAGGACTGGTCGGCTCGGAGTCAGTATACTGTGTCTGAGTGGGGTATTCATGTTAAACTGCGGCGTGGTATCTCGGTGAGCTAGCACTATAAATCGGCATTAGTCCGGACTAGAACAAGCAGCCACACAAACACATACTCGTACATGCACGTCGCTATATAAGTGCAATAATCTTGGACGCGACGTTAAACCCAATTTCACCTCACCTCACCTGTTCGCAAATCGAACTAAAATCGAGAGGAGGTTTCAATGCTACCGCCAAACAAAGATCTTTGTTTAGCGGTAGCGAGAACTAAGATCTGACTTTAATAAGATTGGCATAAACGTGGATTCAGAAATATTTGTGCGTGATAAAGGCATTGATAAATTAGGGGGGGTTCTGAGGTTGAATGTAATGATTGTCCCCACAGAGTGAGCAGTAACTTATGTTTTCTCATCGAATGAAACAACTTTGATGAGGTTTTAATGATTGAATCAACATGACATGCCCACTTGCCTGATAAGGACAATATAACACTTAGGTGTTTGTGTGTTTTACCATTTAAATGTTTTCATTCTCCAAAACTAATTTTAGAGTTTGATGCGGTATTTTGTGGAGACAAGAATCGATTTTGTTTGGCTGGGAATAATATAATTAATCTCTCAGGAGTCGATTCGTTAATATTTAATAACTATTCATAGTAGATTCTAAACATTCAATGTTATTAGATGATAGGCCCAGGGATGTATCCTCGCCAAACAATCTGGTTGAACAGTTCAGTTTATCAGTTCTATCACTGATGTACACAAGGAACAGGAAAGGGCCTAGTACCGATCCCTGTGTCACACCCGCTTTAACTCTTCAGTGTTAGACAAGGTTCCTTTTAAAGAAACATATTGTTTGCGAGCTGTTAGGTAATCAGCCAGCCACTCTAGTAATTCCTCGTTCACACCATAACATTTTTTATGTAGTCCACTGTGCGGTACTCTATCAAACGCTTTTGAAGTATCACAGAATACTATTCCATAGAACTCTTTGTTATCGACTGCCTTGCACACTTGATTACATAATTCCACTGACTGGGCACTACAACAACGAATTCACATGAAAATAATTGTGCAAGTGCTTGAACACATCGCGTTCTAATAGACTTTATATGGCTAATCAAAGATACTGGGCCTAGATTTTCGAAACGATCTTAGCCCTAGGATTATCGTAAAGTTATGGTAAGGAAATCGTAGGCTATCGTGGTGGGGGGGGGGGGGGGGGGTTGTGTGTGTGTTTCTCGTCACACCGAATGCCCTGGTTTGATGCCCCGCAATGTGGGTACAATGTGTGAAGCCCATTTCTGGTGTCCCCCCCTGTGATACTGCTGGGGTGTTCTCACTGTACCGGCAGCTATCGTTTAGGGTAATTTAGCTAATCTACCCTTTAACAATAGAAGGATTAAAATTGGGATTATCGTGCCGGCAAATTCTGGTTCAATGGAAAAGGAACACTGAACACAATTTATGAATTTCTTAAATTTATTGATTTCAGACATACATACAGAATACTAAACGAGCTTCCGTGTAATACCAATTTTATGAAACGAGTGAATAGTTGCGGTATCTGACGAGCGAAAGCGAGTCAGATACCACAACTATTCACGAGTTTCATAAAATTGGTTTTACACGGGAGCGAGTTTAGTATTTTATTTATTACTTGCCATTTATAACGTTTTTAGAATTATCCTCTCGAGTGTGAATAGGCTGACACCTACACGATCCACGGCATAATCCGATTGAGTTGAGTAATACTTCAAACACGTCAAAAGTTGAAACGTATGAATTTAATACCATACAACGGTCCACCTTTAGAATTTTCAGGCGTCCGTTCCACAAAATTATCGTAGCGTTAAGGTTATCGCAACTCACATACTTTAACTTAGACCAACGACTGTCGTTGCGCTACAGTAGGATCGCCTTGTGGAACGGGGCCTTGCACCTCAAAGTTTACAATCACGTCACAATACCCGATGACGTAATTTGTGGAATTTTGTTGCAAGTTCCTTCGGCGAAACAATGCCATGTGACGTCAGCCTAGCAACAAGGTTGCTGGGGTCATCGAGTGTGCATAAGCTCCTCTCAGTGATCCATTATCTCCACACACAATGTCTTTGAATAAGCCAAGGTATGTTGAGAGCTTTCAATATTTGTTCGTGAAACGTGTTCCGAGAGTACATAAGCACGCGTTTTGGTATTACACAATGTGTAATACAGCTGTATGTTTATTAAACGGGTGATCTTTTCACGGGCAAGTAATAAAATAATTTACAACACAAGATGGGAGACGGACTCTCCGTACTGTTACAGATTTTGTCCCAGAAACCAGGCACATTTTAAGACGATCGAGTTCATGTTCCAGTTGGCGGTACTGCTTCCTTTTGGCCGTTAACAACCACCCGATTCCAATTGGCTTATCTAACTCCCGTCATCGTTTGTTCAGATTGAATCAAACTGATAACTCGGTAAATGTTGGGATGGTTGGTTGTCATTTTGTTGATTCTGGAGTGCCACCCCTCCACATGGTTAGTGGTCCTGGGACCCAAGGTGTCGAAATGGTTCCAAGTATTTCTATCCTCTCCCTCACCCCACTGTAATCAGCAGATTTCAGGATGGTAGGATCTTCGGTGTTAGCTGATTCTAGGGCATGAAACCAATAGTCATCTATATCCCCAGGTCTGGGGAGAGGGAGGGAGGGCTGATGCTCGTCTCACGAAAAGGTTAACGTCGGGATTGTTTGCAAAGGCAGTTTGCAGACCATACTTCTGAGCATTGCGCCAAACTGCCTGTCGGAAATGAAACAAACCTTTCAGTTCACAGGCAAACACATGTTTGACAGACTTCTGTGCTGCTTTCTCAAAGTCTGTAAAACCAGGCCCAGGTCGAAGTTGTAGGTCGAAACCGGCACAGTGAGAACACCCGACCAAGAGTATCAGTTTGCGAGGCTTTCATATTCACTGGCTTGCGTGATGATTCCAATTTAGAACTGGTCCCCAGCAAAGCTTTGCTAATCGTAAGAAGCTTGGCCAGGCCCAGTGATATTGCTAATTCTACCATGAATTTGGAAATTGGTCAATCAGAGGTTGTCAAATCACAATAAATCCACTCTAATTGAAACAGTCGATTTGACGGCCGCATCACCACGGCAGCTAAGATTCATAGAATAGTACTTTTTGGTACTTTTGGTCATTGTTGGTAGGCTAATGTATTTCTTTTATCTACAATTATAGGTTACAAAATGCAAAGTTGCGGTTGCTACACTATTCAAAGGATGTGTGGCACTTTCGTGCAGAAAACAAGACAGAAATCTAAAGAAAATGTATTTTAAAGTTTTTGGGTATATGGCGCTTTAAAATGTACGATTGTATCATCACAGCTTTTGCGTCACAATGAGCAATATGACGCGCATAGAACGAAAGCTTTGCAAGGCTTGCTTAGTTTACTAAGGGTCGCCCACCATGTGTTATGTTCGAGTGAAGTATTACTGAGTAAACAAACTGCTTGAGCATATACAGCTCCTTATTTTGTTGACAGGCTGTTGCCGGTGCCGGTGTCGGTGTCGTGATCCAGACCGACAGCCCACTCAAAGCACTGGACTCAACCCATGCCGTTTCACTCAATACATTTGCTGACCCCAAAGAGTTCGTATTATTCAGTCATGACAGAATTGAGAATACAACCTGTTCCTAATGATATTGCCACAGGACACTATTTTATCTGTCTCTGGATGGCTCTCAAATTACGTAATTGTCCTCTCTACATCCGGCTTCCCCATTAGCGGGGCCATTAGACTACGTGTGTAAATAGTAGGATTGGTTTGATCGTGATTTCATCAGTTTGTGTTTATTCCCCATCGGAGATCTTATTGTTGTGAGCCCGACCGTTTTCCACCATCGATAATCCATAATCATATGGCCAGTTTATTATAATATATACTGGGTGCCGTTGTACAAAGCGATGTTAGCGCTATCGTGACCGTAACTCCCATACCATAACCCTCTGGATGCCATATATGTCCCTCCTCTTTAACCCTCACCTTGAAGTCGAATAAAATTGAACATACTTAACGCACACAAATACACTTCACAGTTTTGAATCCTGTGGGAAATTCCCTGTTATTTGATATCGCCCACTGTCATTTTAGGCAAAGAAAAATTACTGAAAATGACCTCTGAAAATTGATACATCGTAAGTAAATTTAGCCATTTTTTTTACACATTACTAAATGAACATTCACGGCGTTATTTATAGCATGTTTTGAAATCTAAATTTTGGATATTTACTCAGAATTTCAAAAATAGCATATTAGTGATCACGGGTGTCTGTCTTTTATCAAATCACCAATGACCATTGCAGATAAATTTACACCATCAGATAGGAAATTTAATATTCTACATCTCTGCGTATGTTTATAGCCGGAGGTAGATCCAGTGCCGCGTGAGCGCAATTATCGAGAAACCTTAACTTTTCAGATCTTAGGAAAATGTGCGTCAGAAAAAAACCCTCGGCATCCAGATGGTTAACAGAGACGTGTGACAGTCGTAGCGCTAAGGTTGTTTTGTATAACGACATCAGGGCATTCTTAGCGCTACGATATTCGTTATCCTATCAGAACTAGTATGAGAGGTTAGGACAGGTTGTAAGGCTGCGAAAGCTTTGTGGATCAGGGCCCCGTTTCACAAAGCGATTTTAGCGCTAAGGCGATCGTAACTCCCATACTTTAACATTGACTTACGACAGTCGTAGCGTTACGATCGTTTTTTGGAACGGACCCCAGGTACGAGACCAAACGATTAGCGAATGGGTCCAGGATCAAGGGCCCCGTTGCACAAAGCGATCTTAACACTACGACTATCGTAAGCCTACGTTAAAGTATGGGAGTAACGACCACCTTAGCGCTAAGATAGCGTTGTGGAACGGGACCCTGGACCCATCCGCTACTTGTTTGGTCACGATTCAAATGGCACGACCCTAATAGTAGCCATCTACTGTTCTCAACATCGAGAGAAATAAAACTATTTTTTTTAAATCTTTGGAAGCCTACGGGGTCCGTCTTAAGCCAAATTAAACTAAGAGAGCTTTGGTGCAAAATGTTCACATGTATATCATATAATTCCTTGACTGGTCACGCTGAAAAAACAGGTTGATTTCCCATGGGGGTATATGGCTTCAGGGGAGGGGAGGTAGCCTAATGGTGAAAGCGTTTGTTCGTCACGGCGAAGGCCTGGGTTCCATTCCCCACATGGGTACAATGTGTGAAGCCCATTTCTGATGTCTCCCCGCCCGGATATCGAGAGATTATCGGTAAAAGCGGCGTAAACCCATACTCAATCACCCCGTTCTTAAAATCTGATTATTTTCCGACACAAAGAATCGAACATATAAGTCCACTCCACTACCAAACAATCTATACATATTCACTACTGACACAAATATTGACGTTTGGATATTTCCAACAAATATTTTTTTTTTTTATTTCAGCACTGCTAAATAACTATTCATTTTGGGGCATATTCTGAACAAACTATTTATTTTAATCAAGAGCGTACGAGACCACTGAGAGAGTGTACGAGACCACTGAGAGAGTGTACGAGACCACTGAGAGAGTGTACGAGAACACTGAGAGTGTACGAGACCACTGAGAGAGTGTACGAGACCACTGAGAGAGAGTACGAGAACAGTGAGAGAGCGTACGAGAACAGTGAGAGAGTGTACGAGACCTCTGAGAGAGTGTACGAGACAACTGAGAATGTACGAGACCACTGAGAGCGTGTACGAGACCACTGAGAATGTACAAGACCAAAGAGAGTTCAAGACCGCTAAGAGAGCGTACGAGACCAGCGAGAGAGAGTACGAGGCCACTGAGAGAGTGTACGAGACCACTGAGAGAGTGTACGAGACCACTGAGAATGTACGAGACCACTGAGAGCGTGTACGAGACCACTGAGAGAGTGTACGAGACCACTGAGAGCGTGTACGAGACCACTGAGAGTGTACGAGACCACTGAGAGAGTGTACGAGACCACTGAGAGAGAGTACGAGACCACTGAGAGAGTGTACAAGACCACTGAGAGAGTGTACGAGAACACTGAGAGCGTGTACGAGACCACTGAGTGAGAGTACGAGAACACTGAGAGAGCGTACGAGGCCAATGAGAGAGTACGAGACCACTCAGAGAGTGTACGAGACCACTGAGAGAGAGTACGAGACCACTGATAGTGTAGGAGATCACTGAGAGTGTACGAGACCTCTGAGAGAGTGTACGAGACCACTGGTGAGAGTGTATGAGATTACTGAGAGAGCGTACGAGACCACTGAGAGAGCGTACGTGACCACTAAGAGAGTGTACGCGACCACTGGTGAGATTGTATGAGATTACTGAGAGAGTGTACGAGACCACTGAGAGAGCGTACGAGACCACTAAGAGAGTGTACGAGACCACTGAGAGAGTCATGGTGTTTAATGCAGAGGGAACATCTTTCGTAATATACAACGTCAGCGTCAGAGCTACCATTGAAGAATCTAGTGAGTGAGTATGGTTTTACGCCGCTTTTTGCAATATTCCAGCAATATCACGGCGGGGGACACCAGAAATTGGCTTCACACATTGTACCCATGTCGGGAATCGAACCCGGGTCTTCGGCGTGACGAGCTTACGCCTTAACCACTAGGCTGCCCGACCGCACCACCACTGAAAGGAGTTCATTTATAAGTGAGTTGAGTATAAACGTAGTCCATTACGCTCGTATTGATAATAAATCTTGATTTATTGCTGGAGTGAGTGAGTGAGTTGGGTTTAACTAAGCTTTTAACAGTATTCCAGTTATATCACGGCGTGTCAGCTTAATGTTGGAGGAAAACCCGAAGTGATGCAGGTCTCAACAATCATAGGTTTCTGACGCGCCCAAGGGACGCAACTCCGCGCAGCGAATCGCGGCGCCTTAGACGACTTGGCCACGCGTGCATCCTATACTGATGGAAACAAATGATGTTACAATGAAAGTATAGGGAAATAAGCTTTACTGTCAGTTCGTTTGAAATAGCGCGCATACAAATTTAACATGTCAGAATCAAATGTTGAGATGTGTTTGTGTGCCTTGTTTCCAACGCGTAATTGGTACACGAGACTTGGATATATATAGCATTTCATTTTACTGTGTCTAAAAATAAGTGTCCCCTTATTCATTGCCATCAGTATATATACTCACCACCAAAAGAAACGCGAAAACCATACATGTTGGTTAATATATTTCGAATTACTCTTATTCAATGCACAAACAAACATACTGGCTTGTTGTGTGAACTGACGCTCATTGAAGCATCAGATGTGACGCCAGAGATCCATGACTCGAGATGTAAAGTTTGGAAATCACGTGCAGCATATCGTGAATAAAGACACTCTGTGGTAACACTTGACTGATTGTTAGTTTTGTCATTAACTGGTATACGTTGGAAACATCTCTTCTTAACGTACATACTTCTCTATATGTTTCTATAGTTCGCGTTTTTTTTGGCGGTGAGTGTATATAAAATATCGATATCACCGTTTTAACATATTTGTTTGTAAATTTCAGGATGTCATATTTGTGATTCACACATCAACCCATCCCGCAAATAAGATGGCCGTAGAATACAACATATCCGATGTACGAGTCGACGTCTCTACATGCCCTGTCAACGCGACCTCCGGCGAGTACGACGATCTTGTGATAGCTGCCTCCGTGGTAAGGCGTTTCTACATCTGGTTTGTGTTTGCCTTTGGTTTCCCTGGCAACACCATCAGCGCTATTGTGGTCACCAGAATGTGTCAGCAACGTCTTACAACGTCGTTGTTCTACGTCGGTTTGCTCGCCGTGGTGGACAACGTCGCTATTGTTCTGAAGCTCGTGGAGAACCAGTCCCAGAACAGGAGATTACCCATGGACGACACAAGCTGCCGGGTACTGTTCTTCCTGGGGCTTATTTTCTCCACCTACGCCAACTGGATACTAACCACCCTGGCAATAGAGAGATTCCTCGTGGTCAGGTACCCGTTCAAGATGGCGGTGTTGTGGACTGTGAGGAAAGGCCTGGTGATTATTTCGTGTGTGTTTGTGCTGCTGTGTCTGATCCACCTCCATCTGTTGTGGACAGTCATTCACTATGAAGGATACACGTGCACGCTGACACTAGAAGGGCCATCGTTCAAGGCCTGGTTCTATGTCGGGTCCTTTCTGTACGCCATCCTGCCGGCTTCCTGGCTCTTCATCTGCAACATCCTCCTTATCATCTACGTCAGGAGGTCGGCCACCAGACGGCGGGCTCTGTCAGAGAATCACTCGACCACAGTTGCCACTAGAAGATTCGATGCACAGATCACTTCGATACTGGTTATTGTTGCAGCAGTCTTTGTCATTTTGTCGTTTCCTAGATGCGTTTTCACGGCCGCATATGCGTACTGGAATCCAACCAGTTGTTCTATAGGTGAAGCGAGAAAATATTTTCTCGACGTCCTGACCAGCAACATCGCCGACACCAGCCACGCCGTTAACTTCTACCTGTACTTCCTTGCTGGGAAGAGATTTAGAAATGCCTATTCTTCTATTATCCGGGAAGTCTCGTCCAGAAAACGAACCCAGATAACGACCTCAGTGAGTAAATATGTCACGTCGCTCTAGCAATGTCTCAGCCGAAAAGCGACTGTCAGTAAACACAGCCATGTTCAATCATCGCCATTCAGGGGCGGTCGGGTAGCCTAGTGGTAAAAACGTTCACTCGTCACGCCGAAGACCCGGGTTCGATTCTCGACATGGGTATAATGTGTGAAGCTCATTTCTGGTGTCCCCCGCCGTGATATTGCTGGAATATTGCTAAAAGGGGCGTAAAACCATCGCCACTCTCTAAGTTCAGCAACGTCTGGCTCAGTCGTCAAAGCAACGCAATCCGCTGTGCAGAGTTGCGTCCCGTAGATGTGCCAGAAACCTATGATCTTGGGTTCGAATCCCGGTTTGCTCTTATTGCTTTTGGTTTGTCGGCACCACACCCGTGCTCGTGTATGTTTTTTTTTAAATGTGGTAAACGTCTAAGTAAGACCTGCCACACTTCAAGCTTTCCTCCTACAAGCTGATATAAATGAAATATTGTTCAAAAGAGGCAATTAATTTACCATCATAAAGAGGTGCTCAATTACTATATTATAAATAAATAAAATAACAAACTGTGTTCTTTGGACACGTGTTATTATGAACGATCAGTAAGAAGGGGGCTTGATTACTTTTTTTTAGAAAAAACTCCCTCTCTCTCCCCCGTGAAAGTCAAATTATTGCTGTCTTGACGTATCGTAAGCTTTAAAATTGATGCAATTTTGTTTGGAAATGTAAACGGTCGAGAAGTGTAAATGAAGTTCAATTTAAATCAGTTCATAAATATATCATTGCAAGCCAGCGATTTCATTTCTTTGATGATATGTTCGATTTTATTCATGATCAATTTTCTCCTTATTTTATGCCATATTTGAAAACACATTTTCTTGTTTACGTGTTTATGATGATTATAAGTATCATGTATTTCTTGAGGCGACCCAGTGAGCAGGATGTGCTTTTATCCCAATCCAGACTGACATGTCAATAAAATGTGTTTAAATCAAGTCATACCTTAGTATTTCCTGTTTCCAGTCGTACATAATTTCCCGTGGCCTATTGTGAAAGCAAACAGGCCCTCAGCTTATGCATGATCGATGAGGATTCGAAAGTGTGACAAACAATTAAAGAATTTGATTTCCAGTTGCATTTATTTCTTTAGTTCTCTTAATTAGTTGTGTTTGTACGTCAGTGTCACCTGCAAAGCTTCGTCTGTCTCACTGTTTCTCCCAGTCACTTTTCAACCACTTGAAGCTCGTGCAGCACGAGCACTTGTCACTCCGAGTCACGGTGAGGCCTGGTTATTAAATTTGAATCGACTGTCGGATTGGCAGGCAAGTTAGCCTGGGTCAGACAGATAATTATAGAGTCCACCAAACGAATTTGATGGTAAGAGAGCGAAAAGCACAAGCACACGCAAGAAGTGCATCTCTATGCACTTGGGTGCCATCTCCTTAATTCTAGACATAGCATCGTGTGAATTGACACCTTCAGAAAAATAGAATTCAATTAAATCATTTTACGTTAGTTTCATGATTATAATTTCAGAAAAAAAGTTTACACATTTTAAATCCTTGAACAGAAATCCTAGAAATCCCGATATCGCTAGAACTGCAAACTATCTGGAATTGTATGTCCATGCAAAATCTATAGGTAAATTAACTCTTAATTCAGACATTCCTTTTAAAGTTTAATCAACAAATCGACCAGGGCTAGTACCACAACGGTAATGATAAAAGGTACTGCTACTAAATTTATATTTACGATGTAACGTATAGATTGTACACACATGAAAGTCTGATAATATATATCTAACCCATTGTGTGAACCCTGTATTAACCTTTCAACTGTTAGGTCGTCGACAAAGTCATAAACATGAACATCATACAACATTTTATACTTGAAGGAATACTGGATGTTGAATACTGGTTTACTGTTCTGATCACGTGGCACACTGTAACAAGGTGGGTAGCCCAGTGGTTTAAGTGTTCGCTTGTCACGAAGGTCCCGGTTCGGTTTCCAATGTAGATTGCGTAAACCCCACTGCTTGTGATATTGCTAAAACGGCGTCAAACCATACTCACTCATTTGTCGTGGTTGAACGAAGATTAAATTCACCAATCTTTTGAAACTAAAAGATGCAGGATGTAGGCGGTACTGCTGCGCTCGCATTTTTATGTTGTAATAGTATTGAAACTCTGACATAAAAAATATTTTCTTTAATTTCTCGGACAAGGTGCTGTTGGCAGATGAATAAAGGTTTCATCTTGACGTAAACGGTCTACAGGCGTCCAGCAGAACGTTTCAGCGACGCTTGCGTAGCTCTACGTCGTCGGTTTTGGGTTGGAAGTGTAATGGTGTGGGGTGGCATCACAATTCATGGGAGAACACAACTCATCATTGTTAAAGGCAATTTGAATGGCGTACGCTACCTGGCCGACATCGTTTGTAAGAGTGTAGGGACGTTGCAGCAGGGTAATGCACTCCAACATAATTGCACGTTTTGTAACAGACTTAGGCAGCATAATATTAGTGTACTGTCATGGCTGTTTCTTCGGACCTCTGCCTCATAGAGCATGTCTGGGATGAGACAGAACGACCCCTACAACAGGATCAGAACCAGTCGGTAACGTTTGCTCAGTTGGGAAGTCTTTGTACAAGATGCCCAAAGCTTCTGGTGTCTTTAATCCACCACCGCTCCCTCGCATGCATCAACGCAAATGGTGGTCACACCCGATATTGACATTGTAAATTGAGTTGTTACACCACCTCTCCTTTAGGGAGTGTCCCCCGTCTCCTGTTACCAGGTATGAGTTTTGCCAATGATGTTATGATAAAATATTGATCAGACGTTATTTTAAATAACATAACATTAACACCACATCATATTAAACACAGTTACTTTTTTTCCACTTGTATTTATCTAATATGTTCTCTTTTAGGCTAAGGTGCTCATTACTGCAAATTACTGTTTTATAAAAAGCGTTTTAAAATCAGATAAAAACACCCTGACACTACGATGGTACAAAGCTGAAATTCACGGACTTAGTAAGATAAGAATCGCATGTGACGTTGTCTATTCCTTGCTTGAGGGGCGGTCGGGTAGCCTAGTGGTTAAAGCGTTCGCTCATCACGCCGAAGACCCGGGGTCGATTCCGAACATGGGTATAATGTGTGAAGCCCATTTCTGGTGTCCCCGCCGTGATATTGTTGGAATATTGCTAAAAGCGGCGTAAAACCATACTCACTCACTCATTCCTTGCTTGAAAAGGCTATATTAATGACATCAAGTTTCCAGCAAGCACATCTGTTGGTACCTAATGCTTCTCTTATGTACATTAGCTTCCAATGGTAGATAATTAATAAGTAAAGAGCTGCCGTGTGTTTTAATAAGAACTGCACAATACATCATTAAGGTATACATAATGATGTGACAGGACTCTTGAATGCCGGCTTCCTTTCAATCATCACTATAATAATACTTATCATTATCGTGGCGAAAATACAAGTTAAAGAGATATCAAAAAGAATAAACTATCTATAAAGTTTTCTAAATCGTCATAATCATTGATAACAAGTTGTTGAAATAAAACATAACAGAACAGACTTGCGCCAACAAAAATAATGGAAAATGGAATGAGTTAGAGAGATCTAAGGATAATCATCAGTTTTCTGATGCACGTAGAAGATGCTTTAAGATCAAACACCTTCATAGCGTTGACGTTGTTTTATTGATAGAAATAACGATTTTGATTATCGTTGATGTTGTTACTGTTTCAAATCTGAAAATAGTCAATGAAGTAATTGTTCACCAGCACTAAGGGGCGGACCATTTGCTACCCGGTAGGGATGTGTAGGGTGGTTTGTGGTGTGTGGTGTGTGTGGTGGCGGTGTATGTGGTGGTGGTGTGTGTGGTGGCGGTGTGTGTGGTGTGTGGTGGCGGTGTGTGGGTTGTGTGGTGTGTGGTGGCGGTGTGTGTGGTATGTGTGGTGGCGGTGTGTGGTGGTGGTGGCGGTGTATGGGTTGTGTGGTGGCGGTGTGTGTGGTGTGTGGTGGCGGTGTGTGTGGCGGTGTGTGGGTTGTGTGGTGGCGGTGTGTGGGGTGTGTGGTGGCGGTGTATGTGGTATATGTGGTGGCGGTGTGTGTGGTGGTGGTGGCGGTGTGTGGGTTGTGTGGTGGCGGTGTGTGGGTTGTGTGGTGTGCGGTGGCGGAGTATGTGGTGGCGGTGTGTGGGTTGTGTGGTGTGTGTGGTGGCGGTGTGTGTTGGCGGTGTGTGGTGTGTGTGGTGGCGGTGTGTTTGGTGGCGGTGTGTGGGTTGTGTGGTGTGTGGTGGCGGTGTTTGTGGTGGTGGTGTGTGTTGGCGGTGTATGGGTTGTGTGTTGGCGGTGTGTGGTGTGTGTAGTGGCGGTGTGTGGGTTGTGTGGTGTGTGGTGGCGGTGTGTGTAGTGGCGGTGTGTGGGTTGTGTGGTGGCGGTGTGTGGGTTGTGTGGTGGCGGTGTGTGTGGTGGCGGTGTGTGGGTTGTGTGGTGGCGGTGTGTTGTGGCGGTGTGTGTGGTGGCGGTGTGTGGGTTGTGTGGTGTGTGGTGGCGGTGTGCGTGGTCGCGTTGTGTGGTCTGTATGGTGGCGGTGTGTTGGTTGTGTGGTGGCGGTGTGTGGTGTGTGTGGTGGTTGTGTGGTGTGTTTGGTGGCGGTGTGTGTGGTGTGTGGTGTGTGTGGTGGCGGTGTGTGGGTTGTGTGGTGGTGAATTGTTGGGACTTTATTGAAGAAAAAAGATTGTCCTGAAAAGTATTATACTTCAAACCTTTGAAAAAAAAATTGCCTGCCCCAGAATTGACATATTTTCAAGGTGTGTTTTTTTCAAAATCATTCAGACTCATTGTTTTAAATTTAAAAAATCTGGTTTTGCATCTGGAGCTGAAAAATATCTACTCTCGATACCAAATCCCAGCGATTGCTAAAATCGGCGTCAAACCATACTTGCTCGCGCCCTCAATGATCAACTTAAAGTCGACGAAAAGAAGTTCCCGAAGAGCACTATTTTAATCAGCGCAAACCTGGTGCATATTATGGATTGAGCAAACATCACAAGATATGAGGTGCACTCGTAGTATGAGAAATACTTATTTTTTTAAGACATCACTTTGGGAATCTGATTTACGAAAAAACGTGTTGTACAGACGTGTGAAGCCCGTATCTGGTGTCCCCCGCCGTGACATTGCTGGAATGTTGCCAGACGCATACTCACTTACTGATATAATTTTGAAATATTATAGAAGAACCGGTCTAGTAAGCGCACGCACGCACGCACGCACGCACGCACGCACGCACGTCGCTATATAAGTATAATAATCTTGGACGCGATGTTGAACCACATTTCGCCTCACTTCAAAACGTGGTTTAACTAAATTCATGTCTGCTATTGCACGACCATAGCTCAGGTTAAACACTCATGAGTCAGTTTTTATCAGTGAAATGGGATTGCACTTATATAGCGACATGTGTGGATGTGTTTGTGCGTGCGTGCATCTGTGCGTGTCCGGGCTAATGGTTTTATAGTGCTAGCCCACTGACATGCCATGTCGCAGTTTAACATGGATACCCCACTCTGACTCCGAGTCGACCTGTCCCTGGTTTATTCCCTTAAGGGCTCAGTCACACATTCATGATTTTACTGTCGTCCTTGACAGGACCATTACCGAATAAAATGTGTCAAAAGACTGATCAAGTGCTTCGTGGCGGGATATTCACACACATTCAGATAATGTTCAGGAAGCGTCCTGTTTCAGCCGTTTCCAGCCGAATTCGTCTCGATTCTCCCATTCTCAATCCGAATCTGATCCGATTTGACAAGAAACGGCAATGAACAATTCATGCCCGTTCATCACGACAGAATCACGATCCACAGGACACCGTCCAGACAACGCAGGACATTGTTACGATTTTGATCCGATACAGCAGAATCTGTCACG